TGGGGTGTCCTCTAGCCACTTGGGCTATAACACGGACTAGCCTGTCATGAGCTGTGCAGATTTGTGCTGGCGGAGGTGATGGGGTCTCAAGGCTAAACTTCCCCATTCTCTCAGTTTTCTCAGTCCTCTCCCCAACACTCACTGGCAAAGATACTTCTCTTACAACAATTGTAAGATGTTTTTCTCTGAAAACCACAGATAAGCCTATTCTCTGGGTTGAAAAGTGACTGCTTTGGAGGCAAGGGGACTGTGGGACGGACAGCTGGAGGCCAAGGGTGAGGGGTGCCTATGCAAGGAATTCGGTGCCTAGAGCTGGGGGTTTCCACATTCAGCTGGGAACACACTGAAAGGTCAGGTCACAAGAGCAGTGTTCAGGGTCTCAGGTCATTAGGAAGAACAGTGGTACTAATTACCCTTATGGTTTCTTGGGTCCCAATTCTCAGAATCTCTGGAGTGGGGGTGCGCTTCTAATTCCTGTCTTGGGGACAATGTGTCCCCTTCTCCCCGGTGCCCCAACTCTGTCCTTTAAGAGACATGGGTTTTAACTGGTCAGCAGCGCCCTCGTGTGGCAGACACCAAGACTGCAGCTGCCCCTGTGGCCCAGCAATATTGAGCCATCAGGCACAGGAGGTGCTGAGAGGTGGGCATAAATGCTGGTGCTCTGTGTCACCAAGGTACCTCACGCATGCTCACTGATTGATTATTTCTGGGGACATTACCTTCTTTCTAATACCTGCCCTATCCTTCCATCCACTCCACCGAACCTGCTGCACTTCTAACTCAAGGTATTGTGCCCACCAGGGGAGGGAGCATCTTGCCCAGAGTCTGCACATATTTGGGCCTGCCTCTTGTGCTACCTGGATTGCAGGGGTGAGAGAGCGGGCCTAAAGTCAAAGGGGTCAGCTGATGACACTCCAATGCCCGAGAGGCAGGAGAGTGCTGGCCCCCTGCCAAGCCTGTACAGGTACCGGACAAGCTTCCACCTGAGCTTGAGATAGGGCATCACCTAGCAGTGGTTTCTGCCCTACAGCAATGCATTCTCCACTCCCTGGGCACGTCTAGGAATGAATAGGAACAGATTCTCAGAGCTAAGATCCTTGTCCTGGCAAATAGTCACCAGATAAAATGCCTTTGCCTCAAAAGATTCAGGTCTGCAAGGACGCCCTGCCACTAAAGAATGTACATCTGGAACCTCAGACCCCAGAGAAGGACTGCCTGTCACTAGACCCCTCCTCCAGAGTCAATGCCATCCGTTTACTCTGCCCACACCCACTAAAAAAATGAGAACTTGTTCTGAACTATAGGAAAGGGATGGAGATTTAACATCATGAAGGTCTCTCTACAGATTAGGAAGTTACCAATGCAGGAGGTAAGTCACCAAGCCCTCCCCTTATTGGAGATATTTAACAACAAAGAGAATTACTCCCAGGGAGAAAGGACCCTACTTGGGACCGGAGGGTAGGGAGAGGAGCATACCTACCTGCAGCAGCAAGGACGGGATGGGCACTGGAGGCTGGCAACCTGTCCATCGAGGATGGAGAGAAGCAGGCCTGTAGGTCTCTACTTCTGGTGTCTCTCACAGTGCTTGGGCAGGTGGGGTCTCTCATCAAACCTGGAAAGGAAGTGGAGAAGCTGATGAGAGGTAGTAAGAGGGGATGGCTTTATCCCATGTTGACTCAGAAGGAAGAGAGAATAGCTTACTGGGAAGGAGGCGTGGCAGAGCTGTGTGTGAGGAGCTGGGTCAGCGGGGCAGGAGTTGTGGAGGAAAGGCTGAGAGCGACCGACATTAGTACCCCACAGTCGAGGAACGTCCATCAGCAGAGTGGGTCAAGAGGAAAGACCAGGAATGAAATGACAGCTGGTGCCAATAGAGGGGTTTATCCACTCTAGCCAGGAGGGAGAAACTGTTAATCAGGACACCATAATGGGGCCAAATAAAAAAGCTAAGGAAATTCCTCTGGAGATCTTTGGGAATAACGAACTTCTCTGAGACTGTGTGTGTGTGTGTACTTCTCTGAGACTGTGTGTGTGTGTGTGTGTGTGTGTGTGTGAGAGAGAGAGAGAGAGAGAGAGAGAGAGAGAATCCCTTTACAAAAGCAGGCCAACAGCCTCTAATTGGCCTTAGGTCCCTACCTGGCTTTAGAGTCTGTGAAAGAGATTGACTTTGCCAGGGCTCCAGATGCCAGGTTACTGATGGACATCACCCAATTCCTCAGGGGCCATCCCTCCTTCTGCTGCTGCCACCTGTAAAGGAAGACAGTTACATTAAATATGAGACAAGAGGCCAGACACCCAAGAGGGCCTCTGCCCAGGGAGCAGGGACGGTCACTGCTCTTCCACTTCTCTCAACCCTGAACTCAAGAAGGATTCAAATGAGCCTAAAATATGCTTCCAGAGGGAGAGATGGCGCCTCTAAGATTCCTACTGCGGAGGAACTGGCCTCCAGGCTGACAAAGGAAAAAAAAAAACAAGATTCCTATACTTAAGAGGGAAGTCAGACATTCAACAGAAATGAAGGTTATGATGCAGACATGTAAAGAGAGAGAAGGTTCAAGGTTAATGCAGGAAGGTGACTCCGGAGAGGCCACTGAGCTCTAGATTAGATCATCAGCTTCTACTCAAGGTCCTCTTGTATAGAACAGCTTCTTCAAGAAGGTGTCAGAAGCAAAAAAAAAAAAAAAAAAAAAAGTCATTAACTATGAGACGGGAGATGTCAGGACAGCAGACTTGCAATCTGGGGCTGTAGGTCTACCACACATCCCCTAGGTAGGGGTGAATTTGCAGGGGACCAACTCCACACTCCTATGCTACCAGTCAGGGTGTGACGGAGAAAGGGTGCAGGATGTACTAGGATCTATTTCTCTGTCATCAGTAAACACTGTTCTGCGACCCCCGGTGCCTCTTGCCCTGCACCCATCACTCTATTTCGAAGCTGCCTTTCTGTCTCTAAGACTCTGCTTTCAACCTAGACACCCTTCAGCATTGCCTGCCCTGCTCACCACTGGCTCCCAGGCTCACATGCTCGGGAAGCAAGCGCTGGAAGGAACTACAGATATACACGGGAGGTCAGAGGTGGGGGAAGGGTCTCATCCTAGAGTGAGCAGATCTACACAATCAGCCACATGTCAGCCCATTGGGCATACCATTTAATACTATGGAGTACGACACACCACCTTCTTTCTGCCCCAGCAAGGAGAAAACCAGCAACTCAATACTGAAAAAATAAGGGAGAAGAATAGAGCCCCCTCCATTACCACCATGTTCCTGTAATCTCAGTGAATATCTCATTTCAGAACTCTATAATCCCTTCTCACATTCAGACTCCCCTTCTCTCCCCAAAGATAAGTATATCCTTTCTTCCTTCTTTCTGCTTTTACTTTTCAATATATATAGCCACACTGTCATGCAAAGGAACTTGAATTGAGATTTTTCTTAGGCTCCAAACCCCAGAGATGGGGGCAAAGTGCTCCTTGAGCTTCGGGGTGATTTTGACAACTGGCTCCTGCTGAACTAGAACTCTTTGGCTCTAATAAAAATTACACCAGTACATTTTGTGGGTCATTGTAAGATTAGTCTTTGAGGTAAAAATATATAAAGTATCTCAGTTTTTCTACTGTTTTTCAGATCTTTTCCCCCTCAACATGCCCCCCCACCCCACTCCGCTACCCTCCCTACCCTAAATCTCACTTTCCTTTCTTGAGGAAGCGCAGGGACCTCAGGAATTAAGGACTCTGTACTCCTGGAGGTGAAGAGTCTGACCTCTCAGGTTCTAGTCTGGGTTGACTGCTGCTGACTAACTCAGTGGGACTCTCTCAGGCAAGGCACTTCCCTTCCCAAAGCCTCAGTTTCCTGTTCTGCAAACTGAGAGGTGGAGTTAGGGGATCTCTAGGGCTTCTTTTTAGCTTTGACCATCTACGAGGGAGAAGACGTATGTGCCCTTCCATCAGGAAGTGAGACTTTCTGGCCTTCACACCATCTCTCCCTCAGAGGCCTGCTTTTCTCATGCTGGCTCAACTAAAGGGACAAACAAGTCAGCCCAGTAGGAGGGCTTCCTTTAAATGTCAAGCTCCTTCCATTGAGAAGAAAAGATATTAAAAGGTAATCTAACTCCAACCCTGAATCTTAATAAAGCAGGTAGAGATAAGGCAGGTCTGAGGCAGGAGATATGCTAAGCCTGCCCTACCCCGCCCCCACACCCCAACACATACCTCACACTGTTTAAGAGTCTGAGCACACACTTGGCTCTGCCCTGGGGAGTGGCATGTAAGTAGAGGCTGCTTACCCAATACAATTGTGTGTGGCTAGAAGAAGAAAGCAAGGACACGTGCAAATACATCCAGAGTCTCAACATAAATGCCCAGTCAACGCACACAAACGCACTTCTGTTCTCTCCTACTTGAGGCCTATACGTGCCTTGTGAGAAGCTATGGTGAGAGGAGACAGCACATCCCAGTCTTCAGCCTCCCCAAAGTCAGAAAGGAAGAGGCAGTGAGACAGGAGCTACTTGGCTTCCTATAAATTGTTTTGTCCTTCCTCACAGCTGCAATCAGAAGCTAAGGGCTCCCGCAGGCCTTGTTCTGATCTGCTGCAGGCGATGGAGGGTTTTTGAAACGGAGAGGAGTTGGCTGCGGCCCCGTTTCAGCTGCCATTGGGGCTGGCTAATGGGCTCATTCGGGAAGACCCCTGCCTGCCACACTAAAGAGTCCCCCGCCGACCCCCTCCCCAGTCCCAACCCAATTAATAAATGGGGGCTCCCACTTTATGGCTCTGGGAGCAAGAAGCAGAGATACAAATGACCCCCAGGGAGGGACAGAAAAAGGCCTTCCAAGAATCAAGCCAGAGAATTGTGCATCCACAGGCACATGCTGCCACGGGCTAGTCACCTCCCATTTTCAAAGCATTAAAGGGGAAGAAACTGGCAAAAAATGGTATTTTCTTTCCCAGATCTGGAGTGGGGTAGCATTCTTGAAGCCTGAGGGCATACCCCAGCAACACTCTTTCACCTGCCCTCAAACCTGGGAAGGGCAGAGCAGGTGAATGTCTGGGGCACACACTGCACTATTTCCCGCAGACAGTGCCTCCTGCTGGACTCTGCCACACCGAGCACAGGCACATCCCACCACCTGGTGAACACTTCCTACTTCTCAAAAACACAAAGCAGCACCCTCTTTCCCAAGAGCCCATCACTGTCAATGACATACGTTGTCCAGGAGTCACCATCCTTACCCTAGCTTTGATTCCTCCTCACATGCACACGATCATCAAGTTTCACTAGTTTCTTGGGGCTACTGCCTTCCTTCTCATTCCCCTTAACTACTCTAGTCCAGGCCCTCAGCGTCTCCCATCTGGACAAGAACGATACCCTAGAAAGCATTCCTACTTCCTCGACCCAGGACGGCTGTCCCAGTGCTCCACATCGCACTCATGCTTTGCCCCCTGTGACTGCTTACCAAATCAAACCCAGATTCCTCATTCAGTCCAACAAGATCACGCCTCTGACTTCACTAATAATCTTCCACTAGACACCCTGGACATCCGCAGCCCTCCGCAAAAAACACGTGATCCGTCCTAAGTTTTCTCTTTGGCCATCACCTTCCTCTCTCCCATGTCCCTGTCTTCGTTACCTTCCAAGAATCTGCTCTGGCTTGCTCCACTTTCTCTTACTGCTTTGCTTTAGTTCCATAAGTACTAGGGGGCTGTTTTATTTTATAATTGACAGAAACGTGCTGACAAACACCAAATGCCATTTCCCGCCCAGGTATAAGCTTCATCACTCACTAGTCCCAGAAACTTCCTGAAGGTGGGAGCCTCCCTCATTTCCCCGAGAAGTTGCCCTGTGCTCAGGACATGACTCTGCTGATATTACCACTCCCCAGTGAAGCTGCCTCCTGGTATAATCCTTGGGATATCACAGCAAAGATCTATAAGGAAGTCAGTGTTATTCTTTCAATTTTTCAGGCTGCCACCTGCCCCTACTAACATTGACTTGGCACTGGGTCTTCCCAAAATACAAATTATTTCATGAATTCAAAGTATTACAAAACAACACAACCCCCCGTACACCCCACCCCCTGCAAACAAGACTGGTTACCCAACAAATTTATTTCCTCGGTTCATAGTATATAAACACAACTTTCTTTGAAGGCTCCTTAGTATAAGAAGCCCTATTCTAAGATTAATCCTGTATTTTCAGGTCATGACCTTTTCTAGAATGAAAATCAATCTCAGAGCCAACAGTGATCTTGTCGTCTACCAGTCCTGCCTCTAGCCTACTTATCATAATTTTGGAGGGTCTCTAGGAATAGAATTAGTTGTTCACAAGTAGAGTTCAGTAGAGTTCTCTCTCTCAAAAGCTGACTCACTTCTCAAATAGTCTAGACAGGAAAAAAATGGTCTCCACCGCCCTTTGTCTCCTACCTGTTGGTCAGGACAGTAAGAGGGATTTGTCTTTACTCTTTCCACCCCCAAGCAGCAACATGTTTAAGAATCAAGGTAATAAAAGCAATGTGCTTAGCACAGTGCCTGACACCACGCAGGTCCCCAACCACATCCCTTCTCTTTCTCGTTCTTCTTTCTCCAAACACTGCTTTTTTTACCTTTCTGGCTAAAGGAGGCACTGGTTTAGACAAGCTCATGTCCTTCTGTGGTTGCTAACATTCTGTAACTCAAATTCATATGAGCTGGTTTGTTTGCTCTTCAAAGAACTACCTTTGCTTGGATATAGAACAAAGGCAAAAGGAATAGTACAGTTTCCAGGTTGCAAGAGTTTTAAAACTCCAAAAATACAAAGAACTTTTTAACATGATGCATATACATTTCTCCCTCCTTCTTTCCTGAACTGTTCTTTTGAACTGTGGACAGCAGTGCTAAACAGCGTCCCTCTTTATAATCTAGGTTCTCAAGTAAAATGTTTTCCTGGCATCCCCCAGGATACGGGTTATAGGGCCGTCCTCTAGGCAAAGGGTAACGTTATTGTCATCAAGGGGAGATTTACAGTGATATTTTATGGGGTCTCCCTGAACTGAGTCATGAAACTTTAAGGCAATTATCCCTCAACTTTCACTAGCCCACCCATATTTCTCCCCTTCCATTTCACCTATCTCTCCTTTATAAGCAACTAGACCCTAAGTATCAGCAGCCCAGCTACCAGACTAGACAATTCTCCCTTCTCTCCATCTTCTGTTGCTTCATTATTATGAGACCTTTGGTCCCCTAACAGAAATTGTAAATATTTGTATAAGGCCAAACTCAGAAGTTCCCAAATTTATAAAAAGGCTGAGGCTCCTAAGTCTTTGAATTTAGTCTCTTTTCTCCAGGGTCAAAAGCATTCAAGGTTGTATTAGCCTTGGTGGGGAGGGTTGTCAGTCCACAAGCTGACCCTGACCAAGGGTGTCTCTCATTACATGGTGTTTTACAGTTCTAGGAAGAAGGCGGCTCTCCTACCTGAGAGCGCCCATGCATTAAGGTAAAGACACACTCCAAGAGCAGACTTTGCTCTTCACTTAGCTGACTGCTACAATGTAGACTTTAAGTCTCTCCATAGTGGCCCTCACACCCCAAATCAGCTAGCTTAGACAAAACAACCTTCATTCCTTAACAACTATCAGCACTATCTTCATTTAACAACGAAGACATGGCCAAACATTCAAAAACCTATTTCCAGGTCCCAGAGAACCTATGTCTAAGTGAATTTATTTCCTGGCCATACCCTCTTATTCCAGAAAAGGCTGTAGCTGAGGGCTGCATGTTGAGAAATGTTACTAACAACTCACCATTCTAGAGAGCACTAAAAATTGACCTCAAATCTGCCTACTTCTCTCAGTCTTGGGCTACTAATTTTTAAGATAGAGCTATGCAAGCTATTCAGTGGCCAAAGCATTTTGGCACCCAAGAGATTAATCAAGCCCTCATCTGTGTTTTCATGGATAGCAGGTCCCTCTTCTCACCAAGCTTTACTTCCCACAGACACCATCTGCAACTGAGCTCAGAAATGTCACCAGTAAAAAATGTCTCAGGATTATGAGGGAAGAGGATGGAGAGACGAAGGTTGAGACTCCCTGCCTTTCCTAGACGAGTGAAGGAACCTCTAATACCCCACACACCATATAAAACTCTCTTCATGGTTCTTAGCAGTAAGAAAGCATAGCTATTTCACTTTCTCCTTTACCTCCCATCCCATTAGTTGAGGATCTGGAATAGCTATTTGTCTTCTGAATTACCTCTCATTATGCTTCAAAACTATGAAGCAGCAATAACTCTCCCCTGCAGGGCTAAGCAATCAAGACCTCTGGTAGGCCTCAAGCACGAGCTGGGTAGTAAGTGAGGAGAGAGAAAATTAGGAAATGAGAAGTGGATGGAAAGACAGCTGCTTATGGTAAGGAGTGGAAGACCACCACCAGCAATTCCAAGAGTCATTACTTCCCCCAAAGTCTGTCTATCCTGATTTGAAGTTTTTAAATCTGAGTACTCCTATATATGAGAAATGTCATGCTTGGACAGTAAAAATGACCAATGTCCAGGAATGCTCATCTTGCCTCCTAGGAACTAAGAAGACTTAGCACTTCTGCCTTTCCCTTGGAATGGCTGAACATTTCCTTACTTGACAAATGTCCCACTTCTATCCCCCAGCTGTCCAGGATGACTAAATTGTTAACAGAGAAGTAACTCAGTGCCTAAGGATCAGTCAAGCTACGGGGCAATCTTTAGTAACAGTGGAAATCTCAGCACCACAGACACTTAACTTCCTTAAGGCATATGGTTAAGGATGTATGTCTAGGGGGAAAAGTAGTGCCTAAGAAATTCAGATAACTGAACAGTATGGTTTTCAGTTAGAAACAGCCTTGGATGTGAAAGAGAAGTTCAGGTTAGTTAGGCCCTGAACCTTTAAGCATAGCGTTGAAAAGACAGCCACTGTGATGAAATGGAAATAGCATTCTTTAGCAGGTTGAAGTTCATACTCCTAGTCATGAACTTGCAAAATATAAAGACTGAAAACAAAGTTCTTTTCTCTGGAGGCTAACCAGGAACACAGAATTCCAGAAGTTGGAATAGTCTTGTGCTCTCCATTCTTTTAGGTAAAGATGCAACAGCCCACTGGCTGCCCCAAACTTCAGATTCAAAAACAGGCTAACAATCATCACATTTTAAAATACAACTTCCTCCTAATTTCCCTTCTTCTATGTGCCCCTTAATCTGATATGACTGTCACCCCATCCACAACTCCCTGAAGCCTGGATGTCTGCTCTCCCTTTGTCTTCTGCCTGGTGTATCCTCTCCCTGTCTGTCTTCGGACAGGTTTGTTTGCTCTCTGCCTACTTACATCATTCGCAGTACTTCCGCACATCCTGTCAGGGAATATTTAGTTCAGAACCCTAAACCATGAAAGAGAAAGGAAAGCAACTCTATTTTCTGGTTGAGGTAGGAAAGATTTTGGAAATAAGAGGAATTTTACACTTAAAACAACTTTGACTCACTTTCTGGATTGGCAATGCATCAGAGAATGTAAACAGAGCTAGGCATGCTAATCCCCATGCTGACAGGTGAGGGACCAGGAGGGTCTATTCTTTGGTCTAACCAGTCTGTTACCAACTTCCCTTGACAACAGCTGAGCTCAAACCCACTTACCTCTCCTTTCAGGAGGAGCTGGGGTACATGAAACTCAACTCTTTTAAAAGCCTGGCACCATCATTATTTGTGTAACTGTTTTCTACTTTAAAAAAAAGGTAAATCACATCTTATGGTTTTCCCCAACTTTTTTTTAATTCTCTAGTTCCTAGTCTAATGTTTAAGAACCTCTTCACACCCTGAGAACTTTTTTTTTTCGGTCTACATACAGCAATTCTGAGATAAAGTACCCCTAAGATAAAGTGGAGGAAAAATGTCCTTTATACGTAATTAAATCTACTCAGAGGGTACAGACTGAGAAGTAAATGCAATGGAGCAAAAGTGGTATAGTAACAGGAAATATTTAATTTTCCAATCTCCACTTTCCATTTTTATAAACTGAAAGAAAAAAATTTAATATATTACAAAATATCTGTACATAGACAAGGTACACCCAATGGGGGGCAAAAAAATGAGAGAGAAAAGGAACACAGTGTCAGAACCTAAATCAGGGAGAATGAGGTGGCAACTGACACTTTTTTTGATGCAGCATTCTCTCTCAAAACCGGCTGGTAACCATTTTAGTACTGTAACTATATATGTATATTATATATGTATATATATATCTCATATATATATATACACACACACACACACACACAAGTGGTTGGGTGATGTCTATGGCTAAGCTAACAGAAGTCCTACTTACAAATTTGTGCTAACTGCCCTGCTTTCAAACATAGATTTGGTATCTTCAAATCCTTATCATTTTTAAGGACAGTTGAAAAAAGAACTAAGGAAACTGGGTCAAGCAAATTTGTTGGGAAAAACACAAAAATGATCACAGTCAAACCAGTTTTCTCTCTCACTCATGAACAGTTTTCTCGTCTGTTCAAAATAATGTATTTAATGGTCTTAATATCTCCTATGGTACAGTAATTCAAAGCAAACCAAAACCACTTTTGAATAATTAATTGGGTTTGTAACTTTCTAACAGTTAAGTTGAAATTCTGCCAAACCTTTACTTCCATCATGTTAGATAATACAGCTGAAAAATTAACAAATACCTTTTCTTCCTCCACAAAGATTCCAGGACATTTAAGTGAGTTTCTTGTTTCCTCTGCTTAGAAAGTAAAAATTACCAATTTTTTTTTTTTTTTTTCATTTTAAAGGTTAGAGTCCCAAAATGGGGGATGAGAATGAGATGGGATCACACATACACATACACACATACACTCACCCTCTTCCCTAGTAGGGATGGGGGAATGGAGACTTAAGCATATTAGAATATTTGGCATAATTAAAAATAAGTGGTAGGGAGGGAAAAACATTATTGATTGTTGATAACCAAAATACAATTAAAATATATATAGAATTTTATTCATATTTGATGGGAAACCAATTTTTGTCATCGGATACTTTTGAAAGCATCCCAGGCTTAAATTCTTTAATCAAAAATGGGAGAGTGGGGCCCAATACCTCAAATTCAAATGTTCTAAAATACAAAGGCCATGTCTGAGGACTAAGAAGTCAACAGACAAAAGGTTCAGATAAACTTTAATGAAATTTACCAATTATTGAGTCAGTGAGTCTAACAAATATAATTGGACACACTGGTATAAAAAGCCATCAACGCCAAAATGGCTAGAAGATTCTCTTTCTAATCAGTGTTTGACCTTGAGGGCAAGGTCAGATCAAAAACCAGAAAATAAAGAAATACACACACCGATATCTACCTATTTCAGTAACAGGGGAAATAGTCTTCATGTAAGTATCTGAAGAGGGTTCTTCTTTCATTTCTTTAAAGTTTTTTTTTTATTAGTGCACCTTCCTCTTACAATAGTTTTTATTTTTTAATATATGAACTTGGCATTGAAACACGAAACTTCACTTGAACTCTGAAAACTATTCTCCAAGATGCTGAAGCATGCTTGCCCTTTTTTTTTTTTTTTTTTTTGTAAAAGGGGGCTAAACCTACATTTCACAAAGATCTAAGTCTGTGAAGATAATTTATATGAATGTGTATTTTTTAAAACACTCTATCTATATGCTGGTACTCACATAGAAATGGAAGCCAGAATGAGAAACCTCCCCAAGTTATTCCACCCAGAAAGCCTTTCCCTTTTCCATTTCCTGTTCTTCATCAGGCAAGGTTTTGCCATGAAGTCATAATTTAACCCCTTTTACCAAAACCAAAACTCTCTGGAGGAAAATCCCTAGAAGAATTGGCAGGATATACATGCTGAGATGTGTATATGTCAATACTGATCTTTCTTATGGTCTGCTCTTTTAAAATTATTTTTTTAAAAAGGTCTCAGGTATTGATATATCTTCAGAAAAATATCCACCCTAAACTAAGTCATATTTCCATGTATTTTCAAGATGTTTTTTTCTCTTTGACAATATTACAATGCTCTGTTTCAAAGTTTTTTGACATAAAAATATATGTGTAAACAATATGCTAACCGCTCTTACTAGCCCTCTAGGTATGGAGGCATCATCTCTAACCTCAGCTCAGCCACAATGTCCTATGTCGTCTGCATTTATAAATAACTTCACCATCAGAACATGGTTTAAAAAAAAAAACAATTTTAGAATTGAAGAGTTACAGAGAACACTATAAGAGTCTGAATCCTTTCCTTTATTTCAAAAAAAGTAAAGGAATTATCCCAGGTTCTTGGGCATCTCGAAGAATATTTTTTTCCCAAATAAATGTCTCAGAGAACAAGAAGGGAGGGAAGAAGGGAGACAGGCAGGGAGGGAGGGAGAGAAAAAGAGGGAAGGAGAAAGGGAAAGGGGGGTAGAGAGAGACAGAAACTACAGAAATGAGGTTAAAAAAGGGAAGCGATAAGGTTAGTCTACCTACTCGCCCAGGAATGTCACTTTCTGTAACCTGCTTCATACGCAGGGAGACAGGGCATGTCTTTTGTAAAAGTGGAACAAACTTTGAGAGTAAGTAATTTATTTGGAAAAAATGTATGTTCAAGATGCTCAATGTGGGCTTAAAAAAAAAAAAAAAAGAGGTTACTTGAAAGCAAAGATGTAAGATGGTGGAGAGAAAGGAAACATTTATTTAAATCAGCCAGGTCACTGTTTCTCTTTTAGCAAAAGCCTAAGAGCAGCTCAAATTTTGTGTACACTATTCTCTTTAAAGAAAAAAAAAAAAAGTTAAAAGAAACCATAAAAACTTTAAAAACTTAAAGAGAGCCTCTCCTGAGCCATCTCAAAATTGAAACTCTTCTTTTTCTTCTGCTCAAGAAGTGCAGGCAATGAACTAATAAAATATTTACTTTTCAATTTAATGACCCTCTCCATATTCTCTACTTATATCTAGCTGAAGTAAATGTTCTGGCTATAGCCCATCTAGGGGAACTGGTGCCAACATCGTTATAAGTCACCTGCTAGTAGCAAGTGAGCAAGGAATACAATGGACAGCTTTGCAGTAGCCAAATGCAGATGATTACCTCACTCTGATAAATGATTTCATTAAAGGTTCAGAGGACTCGTTGGAAAGAATGGATAGGGAAGGATGCTGAAATCAGTCTCTGGGTTAGTAAGGAACTCCTCTCCCCCTTCCCCCTCTTGGTGGGACTCTTGTAGGCCCCCGATAGAGTTTTCCAAAAGCAGAAGATTGAGTTGGGGCCCCCCAGTTAAGGCTTGCTCCTGAGCTGCTGGACCCGGTGGTTCCTGGCCCCAGTTCCCCATAGTTTTGCAATTTGTTCTCTGCATGTACCACTGAGTTGCTGCTTCCCTCAGCCTTCAAGAATGGTTGCCCAACCGCTGAATGTAATGCTAAGGGGACCCTGGCAAAACGGAGATCCTGGTCCCCTGGGAACTGCACTGACCCTGTGCCCTGGTAACTGCTGGACTCCCCAAGGTGGCTCACAGAGCCTGAGATGGTCCTGTTCTTCACCAGGGTCTGAGCCAAGGATTCTGTCAAGGCTGGACCAGAGTTTCGTTCATCAGTGTCAGTGGCACTGAACCCTGTTTCAGGCCCATCAGTGTTTCCGTAAGTCCTGTTGGGATGGGGTCGGGTGGAGTATTCCATTGGTCTCAAGGCCTGGTGCTCATGTGGCAGGTGGCCAGGAGGCTCTGCTTCAGGCTGGGATAAAAGTTGCAGCAAGGCGGCTGTCACGGCTGGGTTCAACTCCTGGGGGGCGCTGGAAAGATCGCCTTCAATCAGAGGGGGTGGAGGTGGCGGCGGTGGAGGTCCAGGGGGTTCAGGGGGCCTCTTCTCTGGTGGAAGAATGTGAGGAGGACATGCTGTGGAAGGGTTACTTCTTTTAAACACCATCTTAAAAATCACATGTGATTATAAACACAAACACACACACACACACTGCCCAACATAAACAAATATCAATACAAGTAACCATATATATATATGTATATAAAAAGAATAAAATCTTGGGATCAAGAAATTGCAATTTATAAATAAAATCAACTGATTAAAAGTGAAACAAATGCATTCTAGATCTAACAGCTGGTGTAAAATGATCATGTTTCAAATAATTGTCCTGATTTTTGTCTGAGATTTCCTTCCTTAAAGAACTGTTCTAAAATGTAGTCTGTTGGCAATTTCCCACCCCTTTTCGCTGTTGGATCAAAACATTAATGAAAATAAAGTGGAAAGAAGGAAGATGAGAAGAAACAATATACATGCTGTGGTCACATTTCTAGAACATAATCTTGCTGTACAACAGGAGACCTTCCATGGACTTAGCTAACACATTTTACAGAACGTTTGATGATATAAGGTTAACACCTGAAACAGAACTTAAAGAATATACAGGAGAGATGAAAAAGTAAAAACCTTTCATTACCATCATGCAGAAATATACACTTGGTTCTCCAAACTTCAGTCCTCTCCCCATAGTCACATCCTGAAGAAAGTGGTATTAACCACCATACTGTCATTCAACTTCCTATTTACAGTAATTAACTGTAGACTAAAGCAATCTTGTGTTATAATTTTCTACTTTCCCCCCAACTTCCTGTATTTTTCCATGCTCAGAAAGAAAATCACTAAAGCAGTGTCATGCAGAATGGGCTGTTGACAAACATGTTTTTCTCAGAGATAGTGACAAGAAGTTGGTATTTATAAATATATTGAACTAATATACTATACTGTCTTTCCAAAGATCTTGTCTTTCTTGAACCACTCCTCAGATCTTTTTTCTCACACTACTAGTCAACTTTGCCTAAGCATGGCAATCACTGTTTGATAATGAACACCTGCTAAGGTAGGAGAGTAGAAATGTAAAATGGCATGAGTTTGAGGACATATAAAACCAAGTGCAGTCATAACAGTGCCTTTAGAAAGCTGGGAGTCATTCTGTTGAAGAAAAGGTTTAATGTTCTGTGATATCTTCAAAATGATTGATCTTTCTGTTCCCTATGGAAGCATATTTTTAAATGTCCATAGAGTTAATTTTTATTATCTAAGCGAGGGGCATAAAGTCATTACTCAGACAAGCTAAAAATAGTTTTTCAATTATAATCAGATATTTTGATAGTATATTTACTACAGTTATATTTCTGCAAAGACAATGAGTAAAATATACATTCCCCATAGCGTGCAGATGAAAGCATTACAAATTGTTGATTTGTGCTGTGCAAGGATGAGATCTGGTACTATATTTAACACAAAAGTAGGGTGACCAACAGACCAAGTTTGGCCAGGACTGAGGAGGTTCCCAACTTGGAAAATTTTACTTTTAAAACTGAAAGTATAGTACAGAGATGAGTTGGTCACCCTATACATATATAATTGACTAATACTAATTGGTTGACTGATTAGGTGATAAAGAAAAATGAATTTAAGGGGAAAAAATTAGCCGTGGAAAACTGACAACTTTGAGAATAGCCTGAAAAAAAAAAAAAAAAGACAGCTGACTGGACTACAAAGATCTATAGATTTCAGAGCATTTTGCTATTTACAATATGTATTTAAGAACATCACAGTTACCAGTTATTTCTTAAAATACTTTTGGAATATACATGAAATGGAACACCAGGTTGTTTATTTTTTAATAGTAAGCACAAACAACTTTAATTGCAAAAGTGGGCAGAACTAATATTTTCTAGCTATACTACTTGTCATTTAAAAATTACCTTTTATGTAAACAGCCTAGTTGTATTTCAACAGAACTAATCTTTGAGCTCAAATTCTTTCACACGAATGAGGATAAAAACAATTTCAAGGTAGAAAAAGCAGATAGACTGGAAAAAACTACTAAAGTTAATGAAACTTCTTAAAGGAATTTAAAAATGGTCACAAAAAAAATCATACTGTTATAAGATTTAAAGTGTTAACAATACTACCTATACTAATGGGGGAGGCGGTTAATGAAATGTACAAATACCTTAAAAACATTATGTGATTCATTAGATTTCAACCATATCCTTACCCAAAAAGTATAGAGTACTAAACAGTATACAAAGTGATAGATTGTCACCTTCTCTGGCTTAAAGTCTGCCCTCTGGTGGAAGTAAAAATGAACAGTAAAATGGCTGAGAGTCAGCTGGGGAGAAATAAGAACAGGGAGACACAGGAAACACTAACTGGATAACCCAGGGTAACTATAATAATTAGGAATAACATTTTTACTCTCTGAAAAGTAAATCCAACAATTTCTAGCCATAGGCCAGATCTTAACTTTAGTTCAATTTTACCATTTGACAGCTCAATAATTAGTGAATTTCTTTCGATTACTGTTATTTGATTTGAACCATTTCTTTCGGGTATTTTGATTACAGCTGAATTTTGTTTGGGGGGATAAGGGAGGACAAAAAACAGGGTAGAGAGATGAGATAAAGAAGCCTACACTAATTCTAGATTAGTGTTCTGTTATTCTTTGTCTTGGAGTCTCTTTAAAAATAACTGCTATCAGTATGAGAGTAGCAAACTGAATTGAACAGAAACAAGTTCTAGTTCTGCTTCTACCAATAATATGCTTCCAGCAGTGAGACCATAGACAGGCTTATTTAAACTCCCTGGACTATAATTTTCCTATCTGTAAAGTAAGAGGGTTAATTTTATTTATGTTATCTCCCAGTCTTAAAAAGATTTACATATGAAAAATAGCTTATATATTTGACCCTCTACCAGTGGAAATAAGGTACATACTTTCTGCACCATCCCATATGAAATGTACATGCAGGTCCCTAAAGTTGAAGATTAGTATACCTCATCAGCCCTTGTGCCTCTTCTCATTCCCCAATTCATAGGGTCTTCATGCACAGCGAAAATTTCCAAGGTGGTGAAAAACTCAGTTAAGTAAAGACTTTGCAAATAGACTGTGAATCAGAATTGATTAGAAAATTTAAACTTCTTTGCCTTCTAACAAAAATATGCCTTGGTCATGTCAATTTCTTTTTTATATAATGCTTACTTCCTAATTTGGGGTCCATTCAATTTTCCTCTTTCAGGTACAAAGATTTAAAGAAATCATTTTTACATGGAAAGGAAATGTATGATGTTAATTATCTACTTAGAAATATACCCAAGTTATGCTCCAGGAGATTACAATCATATTTTATTAGAGTTTTCTTGACTGCATCTTCCAGGTAAGACTCTAGTATCTAGCATCCAATATACTAGAATACAATCTGATGATGGTTTGTTTAGAAGCCAGATTTTCAAGTGTAGTACTAGCTGGCCACCACACACACAGTGGTTCAAAATACATCACTAGCTACAGTTGTGGCTTCCTTTGGTTTAGAATAAAGGGGAATTACTTACCTACCTCCTAGGAAAAGGAAAAACAATCAGTATATAAAAGGTGCTTTAAGAAGCACTGAGAATTAAATAAGAGAAGCTGGGCAAGAAATACATAACTTGGTGCTATGTTCTCCTGTAGACTAGGTTACAGAAAACTGATACTGAGGCCATTGATGTAAAAAAGAAAATGTTAAAGAGATTTTTAAGAGGATCAAAAGCACCTGAGCTCAATGAGATTCATGACCGGTCTGTTTACCTGCTGCCTCCTCCTGTGGCATTGTGGGAGTTCTTCGGGACCCCTGTGGCCCACTGTTCTTGTCACTGTTGTTTTCCTCCAGGCTGCCTGCTGGCTCCTGGGTTTTCATCAGTTGACTCAAGAGAACTGCCAACATATTCTGCATGTCAGCTGGTGTGCTTGAAGTTTCAGGGGTTGTCTGTTCTGCTGAAGGATGAACCAGTGGGGCAGGGGGTGCCTCCTTCAAAGACTCTTCTGGAGCCACAGGCTCTGAGTCCTGCTGCTGGGAAGTCACTTCCGATAGGGCACTGATGGATTGGTTCAGGGCCTCCAGCTGCTGCTGCATTTCTGGGTTGGAGTGGATGTTAAGCAGCTGTGCCATCTGAGGGATGCTCAGGTCGGTTTGGCTCTGCAGCAGGTTCAGTAACACTGCCAATTCACTTTGATTCAACTGCTGTGTGATGTCACCGAGGCCTGTGGAGAGACAGAGAGCCAATATAAGAGGTTGAGGTAAGGCAAGGACCTTTGCTTTCTTTAACTGGCAACAGCAACCTATAACAATATGAATTATATTTCATTTTGAGGGCCTCCCTGGTGGTGCAAGGGGTTAAGCACCGCACTATGAAGCAATCCCCAGCCTCTGCAGCACAAGTTCAATCCCCAGCCAGCCAGAGAAAAACCCACACGGCAAAGCAGATCTCTCCTGCCTTGCCCGCTGCTCCCCTCAGCAGTGTATTTCAGTCAGTCTGCCTGTTCTGTTCCCCACTCTGTCTCTGGTGAATCCTCTCACCCCTGCGTCTCTGGTCTGTACCCCAGCTCTTGTTTGCATAAATAAACAAATCTTTAAAAAAAATTTCATTTTGAATGTCTCATTTTTCATGCCTCAAATTATCATGACATAGTTTGTTATATTTTCATTTAAAAATGCATGGACTGAGGGCCTCCCCGGTGGCGCAGCGGTTGAGCGCTGGGTTGCGAAGCTGCCTGCAGCCTCTGCAGCCGGTTCAATCCCCGGCTGCTCCCCAGCCACCAGAGGAGGGTCCCACAAGGCGCGCAGACCTCTCCTGCCGCCCGCTGCTCCCCTCAGCAGTGTCCTTCGGTCCTTCTGCCTGCTCTGCTCCCCGCTCTGGCTCTGGTGAATTCTCTCACCCTCCCGCGCTTCTGACTGTACCCAGTGCATGTATAAACCAAACAAACAAACAAATAATAAATAAATAAATAAGACATGCCTCTAGAAAATTAAAAAAAAAAAAAAATGCATGGACTGAAAAAAACATATCTATATTGTGAATAAAAGGGATTTAATTTTGTCTATATCCTCCAAGGTCTGTGATTTTCAACCCATACCCTTACTATGTATCAGAATTACTGGGAAAGATTTTAAAATTCAAATGTCTCAGGTCCCAACCCTACAGATCTGGCAATTGTCCAGGGTTGTTTTTTTTTTTTTTTTTTTTAAGATTTATGCATACAAGAACTGGGGTGTAGGTCAGAGGTGCAGGGGGTGAGAGGATTCACCAAAGCGAGTGAGGAACAGAACAGGCAGATCCACTGAAATACACTGCTGAGGGAAACAGTGGGTGAGACAGGTGAGGTCTGCTGTGCCATGTTAGTTAGCTCCCTGGCCTGGGATCTAATTCATGCTGCAATGGCTGCATTTAGCTTGACAACACTGTGACTTAACCCCTGCGCCAGCAGGGAGGACCCTGTTCAGGTTTATTTTTTAAAGTTTCCTGGTCGGTTCTAATGTGCAGCCAACATTGCGCATCACTGTTATAAGTGGAGAAGGAAGGGAAAGACAGCCAAGGAAATCTGCAGTTCAGAAAAGTTGGTGCTATCGTGAACTATTTTGCCATAATAGTTTGTTATATAGTTTTGGATATATTTAATCAAATTATAGTGTATGGAACTAACTCATTTTGTGTGATTAACATGAATAGATGAATAGATTCTCAGGTTTTTTTGTTTTTAAGATTTATTTATTTATTTTTAAATATTTATTTATTTATTTATTTATTTAAGCACTGGGTACAGTCAGAAGTGTGGGAGGGTGAGAGAATTCACCAGGGCCAAAGCGGGGAGCAGAGCAGGCAGAAGGACCGAAGTACACTGCTGAGGGGAGCAGCGGGCGGCAGGAGAGGTCTGCGCGCCATGTGGGACCCTCCTCCGGTGGACGGGGAGCAGCCAGGGATCGAACCGGCGCTGCCGAGGCTGCGGGCAGCTTCGCAACCCAGCGCTCAACCGCTGCGCCACCGGGGAGGCCCCATGTTTTTAAGATTTATTTTATTTATGCATAGAAGAACTGGGTTTTAGGCCAAAGGTGCGGGGGGTTGAAGGGGTAAGCAGATTCACCAGAGACAGAGTGGGGGGGAGCAGAACAGGTGGATCTACTGAAATATACAGATAAGGGGAGCACCAGGTGAGAAAGGAGGTCTGCTGTGTCCTACATGGGTTAGCAACCTGGCTGGGGATTAAACTCAGGCCACAGCGGTGATAGTGTGATAGCAGCGAGGCTTAACCCCTATGTCACCAGGGAGGTCCCCAGATTCCCAGAAGGTGTTTATCAAATCTACCATAAACAGGCCTCCAAGTTACGTGATAAGAAGCATGGGCGGGGCCTCCCTGGTGGCACAGGGGTTAAGCAAGGGGTTACGACTCAGTGCTATGAAGCTATCCCCAGCCACTGCAATATGAGGTCAATCCCCAGCCAGGGAGTTACCCACACAGATAGGAGAGCAGCAGACCTCTCCTATCTTGCCCACTGTTTCTCTCAGTCAATCCACTTGTTCTGCTCCCCACTCTGTCTCTGGGGAATCCTCTCACCCCTCTCACCGCTGGCCTATACCCCAGCTCTTGTATGCATAAATAAATCTTAAAAAAGAAAAAAATTAAAAAAAAAATGGGCAAACTAACCTTAAATTAAATTGACTTACTTAATTCATTGATTTATGCCATATTTCTAGTTGATACAGTGTTTTTTATTTCCGGTGAGGAAAATAATCTATTGTAGACTTTCTAGACCACAAGTACACCTGTTGTTTTTTCTCCTTTCCCCACAGTTAGGATATCAACTTGTTTACTATTACTTCACTGGATGTAAACTAAGTCATACACACACAAACACACATATATCCTTGCCCCTAACCTTCAAAACCTGTCAAAGAATGTGCTTAATGAAAGGACAAGGTCTCCTTCCCAACACTGACCTATTGCATCCCCAGCCCCAGGCTCCACTTTGCCAGGAGCAGGCTGAGGTGGTGCTGGGCTGCTGTTCTTCACAGGCTCAGCACCTGTCCCTGAGGTAGTTTCTTTTCGAGAGGTTTTAGATGGAGGTGGTTCCTCTACCACAACACCGCTTTGTCGTTGGCGTCGCCGTTTCTTACTCCATAATTCATGGCAGTCTTGCCAATGGGGGAGGCTGGAAAAAGACAAAGCAAATGAAAAATGTATATGGGAATGCAGGAGTGAGTGCCTGGAAGAATAAGAGATTAAAATAAAATAGAAAGGTAAAGAGCAATGAGAAATGGAAAGGATAAGGAAAACAAAAATAACCAGGAAAGTTAGTAAATATAGTAGCAGTGTCAATGGAATTATGGCATAGGGTAGACTGAGGAAATAAACGTCCAAAAGCTCAAATGATTTCTACAGTGAAAAGTGAGGAGCTTGTCAACATTAGAAACATACCTGCTCTATAAACACTTATATTCCAGTCAAATAGTTAAGTTTAATAAGGTTCTTACTTGGCATAACAAGAATAAAGGAGAACTTCATTAGTTGTGTTTCAACTGAGAATGGACAAGACAGAAATGACTGGCTTTTTAATATCTACAAAGAGTCTGGGCAAGGTGTTGATTTAAATCTTAAAAGCACACAGTGTATCATGATAAAACCACCTTTGTGTAAATCAAATTTGTTATTTGGTCTGTGAGGACTTTAAAATTGGTTCTTTCTTCTACTTGCCCACTAAATTTCCATGCCTAGATATTTTCATTTATGATATAGCTTAATGTTTTCAATATATTTCAACATGTCCCCATCCTCAAGAATATGAACAGTCCAAGGAGGTCAAATCTTACTACAATGGGGGGGTGGGAATTGTATGGGGACTATAACCAAGATGAAAATGCATACATTGTACAAAAATGAAAAATGATGTAAAAAATATATAAAATTAAAAAAAAAATCTTACTACAATGAAGATTACCACAGCCAAAATCTGTCTGTAACAAGAGTTTCCAAATTTCAGTAAAAAGCTTAGATGTTGCAAGTAACATTCAATGTATCAAAATTCTAGTACAGTAAATGAATCTGGACATTTCTTTGAAACAATGAGATCTGTAGTTACTACCAACTCATGTACTAACATTCTACCCATTTCTTTTACATATACAGTCTTTCTAAGAAAGACTTAGTAAGAAGGGAATGCCCCAAAACATGAAAGCTATGATGCTGTCAGCAATATATTCAATGGTGGGGCCTCCCCTGGTGGCGCAGCGGTTGAGCGCTGGGTTACAAAGTTGCCCTCAGCCTCTGCTGCGCTGGTACGATCCCCAGCTGCCGGTGAGGGTCCCACATGGCGTGAAAGACCTCTCCTGTCACACCCGCTGCTCCCTTCAGCAGTGTATTTCAGTCAGTCTGCCTGTTCTGTTCCCCACTATGGCTCTGGTGAATTCTCTCACCCTGCCGCACTTCTGACTATACCCAGTGCTTGAATAAATAAAATAAATAAATCTTAAAAAAAAAATGTATTCAATGGTAAGTCTTTTTATCTGCCAGAATCTGAGACGTGAGTGTAGAACTGCTGAGTATTCTTAAAGAACACAGGAAATTCATTAAGATTCTGAAGAAAGGGGCCTTCCTGGTGGTGCAAGAGGTTAAGAGTCAGCACTAAGAAGCTATCCACAACTGCTGCAGAATGAATTTGATCCCCGACCAGGGAGGTGACCCACATGGCGCAGTGGATCTCTCCTGTCTCACCCGCTGCTCCCCTCAGCAGTGTATTTCAGTACATCTGCCTGTTCTGCTCCCCACTCTGTCTCTGGTGAATCATCTCACCCCCCGCACCTCTGGCCTATGCCCCAGTTCTTGTATACATAAATAAATCTTTTTTTTAATATAGTTATCTTTTTTTTTTAAAGATTTTTATTTATGTATACAAGAACTGGGGTACAGGTCAGATGTGTGAGAGGGTGAGAGGATTCACCAGAGACAGAACAGGGAACAGAACAGGCATACTAACAAAATACACTGCTGAGGGGAGCAGCGGGCGAGACAGGAGAAGTCTGCTGCGCCATCTAGGTTTCTCCCTGACAGGCGGGGATCTAACCCACACTGCAAAGGCTACAGACAGCTTCACAGTGCGGCGCTCAACAACCTGCACCACCAGGGTGGCCCATAAATAAATAAATCCTTAAAAAAAAAATCCTGATGGGCCTCCCCGGTGGCGCAGCGGTGGAGCGCTGGGTTGCGAGGCTGCCCGCGGCCTCTGCGGCGCCGGTTCAATCCCAGCCTGCTCCCCGGCCACCGGAGGAGCGTCCCACATGGCGCACGGACCTCTCCTGCCGCCCGCTGCTCCCCTCAGCAGTGTGCTTCGGTCCCTCTGCCTGCTCTGCTCCCCGCTCTGGCTCTGGTGAATTCTCTCACCCTCCGCGCTTCTGACTGTACCCAGTGCTTGTGTAAATAAATAAAAATATAAATCTTTAAAAAAAAAAAAAATCCTGATGAAAGAGAGACAACACAGTCTAAGACCACTTTCTACAAAATCTAGGAACTATGACTTGAGTGATGCAAACTATTTAAAACTAGGACTGTCCTTGCAAGTGTGATATATACATGGTCATCACAGACAGAGGGGATTCAAGCAGATGGACTGGTTAAGAGCAAAAGCTAGAAGGAAGATTTTCAAGGGCAACATGGCAGGAATTCAGGCACAAAAGAAAATAGCCCAGGGGCTTCCCTGACGGCATAGGGGTTAAGCCTCAGCACTATCACCACTGTGACCTGAGTTCGATCCCCGGCCAGGGAGCTAACCCACATATGGCACAAAAGACCTCCTGTCTCACCCACTGCTCCCCTTATCAGTATATTTCAATAAATCCACCTTTTCTGCTCCCCACTCTGTCTCTGGTGAATCCTCTCACCCCTGATACCTTGGCCTACATCCCAGTTCTATGCATAAATAAACAAATCTTAAAAAAGGAAAGAAAAAGAAAATAGCCCAAGTCAAATTAAGAGATATGTATCTTAATCTATTCCATGTTTAAAAAGAAAACAAAGCATCAAAACAAACCTCTTTTCAACCACATTAACTCTAGTACATCTCTCCATTTGGGACTTGGGTTATTTGTAACTCTTTTACAAAACTTACTGAGTTTCTCATCTCCTGATGCCTAGAGGGAAGTTTAGGATCACCACACAGCCACTATACTTACTCTGGAGGAGCCATTTTGCTGAGTTCAACATCTTTCAGGAAGTCACTCTGAAGGGTTTGTTCAGCTGTGCAACGTTTGCTAGGATCCAGTGTTAGCATATGGTCTAGCAAATCAAGTGCTGCTGAAGGAATGCTGTGAAGAGAAAGAGGAAGAATAACTTCACAACTACTTCATAGTGCTTAAACCTGTAAGCCAGTGTCAAATGTCTCTGAAGTTCCAACACCACATAAAACTGTAGAAAGGCAAGAGGAAGCTCACTAGCACAAGCATATTTGCTTCTATACAAGACTTAAGAAATGCTATAATACATATAAAACGTGAAGCCAGCAGTTTCATTCTTGGAAAGACTAAAAAAACAACTAGTGTTTTATAAATATTTATTGTTCAAAATAAAATGGTGATGTATGATCTAAAGTTTTCATAAAACCAAATTACAAAAGGGTTAAGATAAAATTCACATACTATTCAAAAATAAAATGCTTTCTTACAGTGATTAACCATAATAAATTAGGACAACGCTAGCTCCATAAGCCAGGAAAAAGTGAAGTCTGAATACCAGTCAAACACAGAAACTAGATGTACACTTTTGCGAAACTCACAAAGAGAATTCTTCTCGTAGACGCCTTCTATATTGCTTCTTCGGTTTCATGGTATTGAAGTATGGTAGCTTGATAACATCAGGCCAGACAGCTGGACAAGGGCTACCACAGAGTCGACTAAAATCAAAGCAAAAACAAGGAAACAAGTAAGTCAGCATCATGAATTCTGGAGATTCCAGAAGCAGAAATTACCACCTTCTGAGGCCTAGAGAATCCTGGCTTTTTAATTAGAAGGCATATAGAAAGGTAAAACATGACCTCACTGGTTAAGAATAGGACAGAAAAATTACAATATAGTGAAAATATTGGCATAATAGTCCAAAATAATTCACATATTTGGTTTTGTAAAAAATGTTTTACTCCTCCACATAGTTTTTCACTACTAGTTTTGTTCTGGTCTCCTCCACATAGTTTTGTTTCACTACAAGTTTTGTTTAGTTTTGAGTTGGTCCAAAATGTCCCTATATAGGGAAAACTGGCAGAAAAGAGTCAAGACTGGAAATCTTAATGAACAATTGAGTTTACTTAATAACAAAGGAGGTACCATAAACACCACCTTAAAAAAAGTCTGTGTTACCCTGCTGTACTCTTCCCTAAAATCTCACTGAGGAAAATAACCCAAATTCCATCCTAATCCCTGGCCTTCATCAAATCCTACTATAGGTTCTATCTTATAAAACTGATTATATACCATATGACTAACCTCTGTGCTTTCTAAAGGCAGGACCTGTCTTATTTAACTCTAAATCCTAAAGTTTAACAGAAAGGAGTTTGTTACAGAACAGGTTCAATAAATGTTTGCTAAATAAATGTGATCTTAATCTAACATAAGAATGACAACAGCTATCCTGAAAATGGTGTGCTTAGAAAAAAAAGTATACAAAGATAAAAAAGTAGGTGGATTACAATTACACATATAATCCATGAGAAAATTGGGCCTCCTTGGTGGCACAAGTGATTAAGTCTCAGCACTATAAAGCTGTTGGCAGCCACTGCAACGAGTTCAATCACTAGCCAGGGAGCTAACCCACATGGCGCAGCAGACCTCTCCTGTCTCACCTACTGCTCCCCTCAGCAATGTATTTCAGTCAATCCGCCTGTTCTGCTCCCCACTCTGTCTCTGGTGACTCCTCTCAACCCCTACCCCACACCTCTGGGCCTACACCCCAGTTCTTATATGCATAAATAAATAAATCTTTAAAAAAATTAAAAAAAAAAAAAAAAAAAAAAAGGCCTCCCTGGTGGCGCAGTGGTTGAGCGCTGGGTTGCAAAGCTGCCCGCAGCGTCTGCAGCGCCTGTTCGATCCCCAGCTGCTCCCCAGCCACCGGAGCAGGGTCCCACATGGCACACAGACCTCTCCTGCCGCCCACTGCTCCCCTCAGCAGTGTGCTTCGGTCCTTCTGCCTGCTCTGCTCCCCGCTCTGGCTCTGGTGAATTCTCTCACCCTCCCACACTTCTGACTGTACCCAGTACTTGTGTAAATAAATAAACAAACAAACAAACAAATAAATAAATCATTAACTAACTAAATAAAAATAAACCTGATTAAGTGAAGATAGACTTACTTGGACATAAAGAGCCTAAAATCATTTAGAAGGATGAGTGAAAAGCATTAGAAATCAGACAATGAGATTACCTATCACAAATGGACACCTAGAACACATGCACAGTTGTACCTGATCAGTTCTAGCTGAGCCAGTTCCAGATTGGCTTGAAAAATAGGCTTCTTTGTGAACAGTTCCCCAAGGATGCATCTAAAGAGAGTAAAATTGAGAGGTCAAGAGAAAATCCCCTAGAGCCCATTTAAAGTATTACTCAATAAACTTTTACAACATATAGGGCTGCATCTAATATACCATGTTGTAAACTAGCCCAAAACTGTATTGTCTGAGTTTTGTAAATGGAAATATTTCTTGCAGTAAAAATACAGTATAAAGGCATTTTAAAATTTGATCAAACTAAAAGATAAGTCTACAGACAGAGAAAGGGAGTCAGGAATCCTTTTGTATCGATTCCTTTGTAAACTAAGACTGAAAAAACCCATATTTCCTTTTTACAAAGATGCTCAACAGTTCCGGAAAGCTATTACCTTTTTTTTTTTTTTTTTTTTTCATTCACCTGCTCTGTAGAATGAGCCCTACATGTAGCCCTCTTGGTGCCATATTTGCAAAGAAAAGTTTGTCATCAGCCAGGTTGTTTCAACAGGACTTCTAAAAACATTATCCTTAAAAACCTTTACTATTTTGAAAAGGTCTTTCAAAATTCCATTGGCTAATTTACATAATCTCTAATATTTCTCCACAAATGATTCATCACAAAAGAAAAACTAGTAACAATAGTTATTTAGTGGGAAGGAAGACAACACCTTAACCAAGTGACCAAAATTAGTATACCTAATAAGAGGTAAACCAAGTTCCTAAGTACAAATGTGACATCTTGAAAATAAAACGTATGGGGGATTCCAGCCTAAAATTCATAACCTGAATCTATATAGTAACTGGTCTGTATTCTTCAAAAATGTAAATGTCATAAAAGATGAAGGCTATGGAATGGTTATACATTAAAAAAATGACAACTAAATGTAATGATACTAGACTGAATCCTCTTGATGGAGGTATTCGGGTACGGTACTATTTCCAAGAGATTATTAGGGAACTGACAAAATATGGAAATACAGGCTAAATACTCCATTAAATACTGTATATCAGTACTGAACTTCCTGAATTTGACTACTGTATTATGATGATATAGGAGAATGTCTTTGTTTTTAGGAAATGTATATTCAATATGAAGAGAAAAAGGAGCAAAATACATGCAACTACTTGGAATAATTCTGAAAAAGATATGGAGTGTGTGTATATGTATTTTATCCAATGTATATCTTATATGTTGCATCACACACACATGAACATAGAGGCCCACACTATTCTATTGCACTTTGTAGACAGGCTTTTTTCAAAAATAGAAACTGAAGGTTTCTGGCAACTCTGCATGACAGCATGAGTTCCTGTCATGTTTGTGTCACATTAAATTAAGGCATATACAATGCTTTTATAGAAATAATGTTATTGTAACTTAATAGACTAAAGTATAGTCTATTTGTGTGACTATCTTTATTGTAATATTCACTTTAGGGCCTCCCTGGTGGCGCAGGGGTTAGGGATAGCGCTATCAGGCTGTCGCCAGCCACTGCATCACAAGTTCAATAGGGACCTCTTTTGTCTCACCCACTGCTCTCCTCAGCAGTGTATTTCAATACATCTGCCTGTTCTGCTCCCCACTCTCCCTGGTGAATCCTCTCGCCCCCCACCCCACACATCTGGCTTATACCCCAGTTCTTGTATTCATAAATAAAAATAAATATTAAAAAAATTTCACTTTATTGAGATAGTCTGGAACTGAACCTGCAATACCTCTGAAGTGTGCCTATATAGGCAAAAGTAGTAAGAGGTTAAAAATTACTCAATCTAACATGAATAAATCTGACAAAAATTATGCTCAGGAAAAGATTAGAGGGAAAATAAGATCATGCATTGTGTGATTCCACTTACATAAAGTTCTAGAAATGGAAATCAATCTATATGGCATGATGTGGCCAGGAGAGTAAGATTAAAAAGGAACATATAAAACCATTTGTACATAATCATTATGTTGGTTGTGATGATGATTTAACTAGTGTATATGTCAGTGTATATACTTATATTATTAAGGATAAGTATACACTTAACAAATTGTATACTTTAAATATATAGTTTATTATATGCCTTAATTAAAAGGGTAAAAATTTAGTTAATCTACATGAAGGCTATACTGAAGTTCTCTTTATACTATTCTAATAACTTTTCTGTACATTGAAATTATTTTAAAATAAATTTAAAACAAATGGAAAAAAATCACAAATACTCTCTATATATCTCTGTATGCCTGAACTAGTTCATTTTTATTTAAAGTGGGAAAGGAAAAAAACGACAAAGTACATCCTTACTGTCCTTTGCTTTGAAATTACATTTATTTACAAATACACATAAAACCAAAGTTTATACAGTTTTATTCTGAAATTCTCTAGCTTGACTAAACTTGAGAAAGCAAAACAAACCTAGTTTTGTTTTTTTGTTTTTTTTAAAAGACTGATTTATTTATTTATACAAGCACTGGGTACAGTCAGAAGCGCGGAAGGGTGAGAGAATTCACCAGAGCCAGAGCGGGGAGTAGAGCAGGCAGAAGGACCGAAGTACACTGCTGAGGAGAGCAGCGGGCGGCAGGAGAGGTCTGTGCGCCATGTGGGACACTCTTCCAGTGGCCAGGGAGCAGCCAGGGATCGAACCAGCGCTGCAGAGGCTGAGGGCAGCTTTGCAACCCAGTGCTCAACCCCTGCGCCACCAGGGAGGCCCAACAAACCTAGTTTTTAAAGTTATCAGCACCTTTCTATTATTGTTAACCTCAAATACAAATTCTTACTTTCAATATCTTCTCAAATTATATAATTAAAAAGGTAAAACTCTAGTTGTTTTCCACATTAACCAGCTTGTTACAAATGTTAAAATATGATACAAAAGACCAGATGAGTTCTCAGACTTTAGGTATAATTTGTTGTACTATTCTTTACAGTTTCTTCCCTAAATTCAAACTGAACTACTCCATCAATTCTCTGTAACATCCCACAAAAATGTTTTCAGAGAGGGCCTCCCTGGTGGCGCAAGATTAGGTTAAGCACCGTACTATGAAGCAATACACAGCCTCTGCAGCACGAGTTCAATTCCCGGCCGGCCAGGGAGAAACCCACATGGCGCAGCAGACTTCCTCCTGCCTCGCCCGCTGCTCCCCTCAAGCAATGTATTTCAGTCAGCCTGCCTGTTCTATTCCCCATTCTATCTTTGATGAGTCCTCTCACCCCCTGCATCTCTGGCCTGTACCCCAGCTCTTGTATGCATAAATAAATAAATCTTAAAAAAAAATATTTTCAGGGGCCTCCGTGGTGGCGCAGCGGTTGAGCGCTGGGTTGCAAAGCTGCCCGCAGCCTCTGCAGTGCCGGTTCGATCCCTGGCTGCTCCCCGGCCACCAGAGGAGGGTCCCACATGGCGCTCAGACCTCTCCTGCCGCCCGCTGCTCCCCTCAGCAGTGTGCTTCGGTCCTTCTGCCTGCTCTGCTCCCCGCTCTGGCTCTGGTGAATTCTCTCACCCTCCCACGCTTCTGACTATACCCAGTGCTTGTACAAATAAACAAATAAACAAACAAACAAACAAACAAATAAATAAATCTTTAAAAAAAATATTTTCAGAAAGATACCATGAATCACTAAAATAGTATGCTCATATCAAAAATCAAACAAAAATCTCAACTGGATGCATCATGGGCTTTAAAGAAAGTTTTAACTTCCAATTGTGTTTTCTTTTAGTTGCCAGTTTTTGGTGGGGAAGACACCCTTATGGAATCAACACTATGCTACTACACTGAGGATGCAGAATGAAATCCCAATACTAACAGAGCTATAAACTTCCCCACCTGCTACCCCTCCCTGCATCTTAATGGGGTGTTAACTTTAGAGCCTAGTTGTGACAATTTAAATACTAATACTGTTAAAGCAAATAGTCCAGAGAGCAAATACACGCAGCTTGAGTCACTAAAATTTAACTCATTTGAGTTGGGTAGGCTACCTAAAAAATTATGCTCTCTTTCTCTATGACCCTTTTGAATTTTGAAATAAAACCCCATGCAGTACTCCTTTTAAAGACTGACATTAGTGGAGGAGGGAAAGATTGGGGGAAAATGATATGCCCCACTAGAAAGTATATATATCAGAACCATAAAGTATGAAGGTAAGGGACAATATATGTAGCACACAGCATAAGAAAGTTGAATGAACATGGCTCATGTCCGTAACACACAAATTATGGTCCCTAAATATCATTTTCCACTGGAAGGGACTAAGTCTCCTTGAAGAAATGAACAAAATGAACCTGGAAGTAGAAAACAAGGAAGGCTATCAAAGATTACTACTTTTATATCAAAAGGACTTAAAAATTAAGCTGAATAAACACCCACTGGCCAAAAACTGGAAGAGTTCAAACAGGAATAATGATGATAACCACAATGGATTAAAATATCAAACATGTTTAAATCTGTGAGTTTGTAATGAAACCAAAAAAAAAAAAAAAAAAAAAGAAAAACAAATCTCAAATCCCCCTCTTTGGTCTTCGGAAAAACTGTCTCGTCTTGAAAACCCAGTAAATAAAATTAAAGTATTAAATCTCTATCACTAACTTTTCTATATCAACTGTACCAAGGGTTAGCCAAATAGATATTAACTTTTTTCCAGAAAAAATACTATTAGAAATCACCATCACAAAATAATCACAAATTAATGGCTGTGGATGACAGCTGGTAACATTTCAATTAGAGTGTAGCATGTTATGTAAAGTGGCATGTGTCTGTGTGTTTGTGTAACTCTGCCCTGAGAGGGATGAATATTTTATCAGACATTGTTTACAAGTGCCTGTATAAGGTGACAATAAAAGGCAGACTAATTTGTAGTGGATTATTTTTAAATTCTCTAAACTAACATAATCAGTGACTGCCTAGGCAAAGAATCCCACGCCTCTCACTCCCCACTCTAATATATCATTGACCATATAGTTTCTGCCAAGAAGTATTCCCCAAAGACAATCAAAGGGAGGGAGAAAGTTGAAGAAAAACTATTCAAAACAACTTGTAATTTCAGTGGCTGGGAAACATATTTGAATTCACCTAAAATTTATAAGAAATAAAAAGGATAGAGAACCATGCTTAAAATGCATGCTAAGGATGGAATCTACAAAATCCAGACTGTGAGAAACTCTACAGGACAAATGATCCAGTATCTTCTAAGGAAACTGCAAAGTGGGGGGAGGGAATCCTAAGAGACATGAAGGGAGAATCTATTTAAAAAAAAAAAAAGAAATGAGATAATTCCAATCTAAGGACCTTATTTGGATCCCAATTCAATCCAAGTTTAAAAAAAGAGACAAGTGGGCAAATATTTTTTAGGTGTGTTTCTGATACTGAAAATAGACAAGAGGGCCTCCCTCGTGGTACAGGGGTTAAAGTCTCAGTGCTATCAAGCCATCGCCAGCCACTGTGGCATGAGTTCAATCCCAGGCTAGGAAGTTCACTCACATAGTGAGTTCCCCTCAGCAGTGTATTTCAGTACATCCATGTATTCTGCTTCCCATTCTGTCTCTGGTGAATCATCTCACCCCCCGCCCCCCAAACACACACACACACCCCTCTGGCCTAAAACCTAATTCTTGTATGCATAAATAAATAAAAATCTTCAAAATAAAAATAGCCAAGAGAGTTCTATGAAATCTAGCTAAAAAGTTTATTCCCATCTTTAAGGCTTAAGGAGGGAAAAAAATGAATTTTAGGTGGAACACAAATAGTGGCTATAGATTGATAACAGGGTATTAAGTTCAATATGTTAGTTACAAATAAAACAAAAAGAGGGTCTTACCCACAGCTCCACACATCTATGGCAGGTGTGTAACGCTCCTCTCCTAGTAGAAGTTCTGGAGGTCGGTACCATAGAGTAATGACTTTGTTTGTATAAGGGCGACTGAAATGTAAAAAAAAAAAAAAAAAACCCATGTCATATTTACAGTGGCATCTCATGAAAAATAGAATAGCTACCAGTAGGACTGTCAAAATAACTCCAAAGCAACGTAAATTTCAAAAGCAAACTGGAAAAAGGTAGGAAATGAAGAAATAACTTCCAATACAATTTGGGTTGATATCAATTTAAGGTTTGTTCAAAAATTTAAATATAATTTACTGTCTAAAATCTAGGTGGTAACACATTTAGAAAATTAGGGAAGGCTGACAGTTATTACAAGTTGCATAAAGCTAGGATATCCAAGAACAGACACTTCTTTCATTTTCCACATAAATTTTCATGAATGTCTTACCTCTCTTCGGAGTTATAGAGTCGAGCAAGTCCAAAATCTGCTAGTTTGATCTGCCCACTGTAAAACAAAAAATAATTCTTATCATAAGTGACAGTTGCACCCTCCAAATTACACCTAAAAAAAATCAAGCACTAATTTACAAGTTAAAGGAATTTAAAAAAGGAATTTTATCCTCTACTTTCTTCTATTTTTAATATTCATTCTCCCAGATTAAACCTCTTTAACAACTCCGGTTTACAGTCTTAGGGTTTGTAATTTTTTTACTACTGTGTTTTTGGATTTGACTCCTTAACTGTTTATTTCTTGAAAAATAATGGACTGGAGGGCCTCCCTGGTGGCGCAAGGGGTTAAAGACACAACCTATGAGGCTCGCCACAGCCACTGCAGCACTGAGTTCGATCACCGGCCAGGGAGCTACCCAAGTGACGCAGCAGATCTCTCCTGACTCCCCACTGCTCCCCTCAGCAGTGTATTTCAGTCGATCTGCCTGTTCTGTTCCCCACTCTGTCTCTGGTGAATTCTCTCACCCCCCCCACAACTCTGGCCTGTACCCTAGTTCTTGTATGTATAAATAAATCTTTAAAAAAAAAAAAGAAAAAGAAAAGAAACAGAAAAATAATGGGCTAGACCCTGCGAGACTAAATTCTTATTACTGGGGAGAAAAAGGAAGGGGTTGGAAGATTTAAGAGGTCTAACAGCTAAATCCAATTCATAATCCTTACTGATTCTGGTCTGAAAAACAGAAAACAGCTACAAAAGACAAGTTTGACATTATTGAAAAAAAAAAAAAATGAACTGTAATGTTAGAAGCTATATTATGTAGTAATTCTATCAGAGTATTTATGGTCAAATATAACGATGTCTTATTTTATTTATTTATTTTTAAAGATTTATTTATGCATACAAGACCTGGGGTGTAGGCTAGAGGTGCTGTGGGGGCAGTGAGAGGATTCACCAGAGACAGGGTAGGGAGTAGAACAGGCACATATACTGAGATACACTGCTGAGGGGAACAGCAGGCGAGACAAGAGAGGTCTGCTGTACCATGTGGGTTAGCTCCCTGGCCTGGGATCAAACTCCTGCTGCAGTGGCTGCCGATAGCTTCATAGTGCTCAGACTTTAACCCCTTGCGCCACCAGGGAGCCTGTCTTATTTTACTTTAAAACAACCCCAGCAAATAACTCAAGCAGAAAAATAAAAAGAAAACAAAGCAAAACATTAATTGTATTACGTATTAATTATTAATTATATTTTCAAATTTTTCTTTTGGTAACTTGACAATTTTCCTAATAAAGTAAACCACAGTAATTCTGGGGCAATATTGGATTTTTCCCAATGGAGACACATCTTTGAACTGAGCAAGTATTGTTTATGAATGAGTTTCCCTCTACCAACATAATATCTTCACTTTCTATAACATAAAGATATCCAACTAGGGTCTCCCTGTTGGCCTAGGGGTTAAACCTCAGCACTATCACTACTATGGTCAGAGTTCAATCCCAGGGAGCTAAAGCCAGGGAGCTAAACCCACATGGCGCAGCCGAGCTCTCCTGTCTCACCAGTGCTTCCCTTAGCAGTGTATTTCAGTAAATCTATCTGGTCTGCTCCCCACTCTGTCTCATAAATCCTCTCACCCCCGCAACTCTGGCCTACACACAGTTCTTCTATACAAAATAAATAAATCTTAAAAAAAAAATCCAATGATGACCTTAGAGAGGCTCTCAAACTTTACAATGAACTAAGAAGCACCTGGAAAGTTTGTTAAATGTTTCCTGGGCGCCATTCCCAGAGATGATGGTCATGGCTCAAGAGTCACATTTCTAACAAGTCCACAGGTGTTGCCAATACTACTGTACTAGCCTGAGGATCACACTTAGAGACTACTTCCTTAGAGGGATCATATCCACATTTAATTCTGTTATTCTCTGACAGTGAGGTAATATTTTAATAAAATTTACCACAAAATTTCAGAAAACTATTACTTTGGATTAATCAAATTTATCTAAATTCACATGCAGCCTATTTATTCTTATTTACAGTTTGTGTTATCTCTTAGGATATGAAAAACTAACTCACCCTTTTTTAAGTAACTGCAGAGACCTCAAGGGCCAGATAGCTCAGATCAGGCAAAAAAGTGCAATAGAAGGAAAAAGGGGGGCTCTTTAAAGTATAAGCAATGGAATACAATATTAAAATAAGCTAATTACTCACAACACTTTACATTAAATCAACCCAGCTTGTCCTAGTAAAGATTATAAACATGGTACTCTAATTATCATTACATTAAGTCCAATTTATAAGCAAATTCTGACAAAAGCAAAAAGAAATAGCTAACTTGATACCTAATTGAATTTGAAAAAAGATCCCTCAAATTTCTTGGCATTCTTACACAGAGAAACCTGAGATGATCCTAGACACCTAGTACACGAAGTTGAAATAGTAACAAATAATTTGAAATATGAAATTAGACCAGACCCAAGCATCACTAGCACCAAGCATATTTTCTAATTCAGTCCCAACCCTCTCTCAGTAAATGACCTTAAAAAAAAAAAAAAAAAAGATTTATTTATTTATGTATGCAAGAGCTGGGTACAGGTCAGAGATGCGGGAGGGTGAGAGGATTCACCACAGAGAGTGGGGAACAGAACAGGCAGATTGTCTGAAACACACTGCTGAGGGGAGCAGCGGGGCGAGTCAGGAGAGGTCTGCTTCACCATGTGCATTCTCCCTGACTGGACTGGGATTGAACTTGTGCTGCAGAGGCTGTGGATTGCTTCATAGGCTGCATCTTAACCCCTTGTGCACCAGGGAGGCCCCAGTAAATGACCTTCTTAATTGAAAACAGAACTCATTTGGGCCTCCCTGGTGGCCTAGGGGTTAAGTCTTGGCACTGCTGCAGTGGCAGTTCAATTCCCAGCCAGGAAGCCAACACACATGCCGTGCAGCATGTGTGTTAGCTCCTGTCTCGCCCGCTGCTCCCCTTAGCAGTTTATTTCAGTTAATCCGCCTGTTCTGCTCCCCACTCTGTCTCACTTCCCGCACCTCTGGCCTATACCCCTGTTTTCTATGCATAAATAATCTTTAAAAAAGAAGAAAACAGAACTCATCAAGTGGGAGACTCTTCAATCCTATCTTATCATGAATCAAGAAAAACTCAACAAATTGCAGGCCCAAGTGTGTACTGCTAGGAAAGGTACTGCTCAAAAAAAGATGGTGGTTCCCAGAACAGCTACAGCAGATGATAAAAAAACTTCAGTTTTCCTTAAAGAAATTAGGGTTAAACAATATCTGGTCCCAAGATGTGAATGTGTTTACATATCAAAGAATAGAGATCTACTTTAACAACCCTGAAGTTCAGGAATCTCTGGCAGCAAACACATCCACCAATACAAGTCATGCTGACAGAAATGCTACCCAGCATCTTAAATCAGCTTGTTGCAGTCTGACTAGTTTCAGATGGTTGAAGCTCTGCCCAAACAATCTGTGCATGGAAAGGCACCCCTTGCTACCAGAAGGGTGGTGGTGATGATGAAGTACCACAACCTGTGGAACATTATGAGGCTTCCAAAAATGAAGCAAACTGAATTAGCTTCTGAAGAAAATAAAACCTGAAGTTAATGGGTGCTGTTATATATCACATGACTACTTTTTAAAATCTTGTTCATGGATCTGATAAAATGTAGATCTTTAATATTTTTAAACTGAGCCCTCTTGGAATGCAGCTCATTTCTGTTTTTTGCTTATACACATTTCATTCGTTGCAGCTAATTAAGCTAAAAGCCTAGGAATAATGTTTGAAACAGGGTAATAAAATTCTCTGCCTAGTGTACAGATTTTTTATTTCACTGAGACTGATTTGTACACAGAAAGCAAAGTTGTTATAGAAAGCTAATCATGGCATGTAATATGATGGATTAGTATTTGATAGAATTTGATTAAAGATTTTAAATGACAATGAAAAAACTTATTTGCATTTACAAACTTTTCTTCTTTCCCTTTAGTTATATATAAAAATATGTTAATCTCTTTTCTTGTTCAAAGATAATACCTACACTTGTGGTCACTACTACCTGAGGCCTTGATCCCATCTCCTCTAGAACCTTGCTCCTTTACATTTTGTTTCTTTCCTGAATCTTTATTTTCTTTTCCCTTAGCATTTAAATATGTTCAAATCTCTGCATCCTTAAATAAAAAAAGCAAAAAATTAGATATACCTACTACCATCATCTTCCCATTAATTGTGCTATACACTTACCCCAAAGTGTCACCACTGATCTTGTAATTTTCAAATTCTTTTTAGCTTTTATTCAACATCATCTGATATATATAACCACTTACTTCTTAAACACATATTTTACATTCATATTTCCTCATTTTCTTCCTTTTCTATAACTATATATTGTCATTTTAATCTCTTAGGTTCTACCTTCTGACATCGTGTCTGTTTGGTAACTTTCAAATCAATACTGCTAGTTTGGAACTCCCATATAACCATATGCCTATTATATATCACTATCCTGGACACACCACAGAGATATCCAAAATGAATTTACGCTCCACCCACACACTCTGGTCTTCCTTCTGTATTTCCTATATTGGCTACTATGACACCCATCTAGTTAGTTTCTGATGTCACAAATCCATGAGTTATCTTAAAGTATTTTCATTCATTGCCTACCATTTATTTGCTGGTCAAAGTCTACTGATCTACAGAGTCCATCCTGTCCATCTCTACTAGCAATGCTTTGGTTAGTTCAAGCACTGTCCATTTCCTATGCTATTCCTAACAGGTCTCCCTAACCCCAATGTATACCCCAAATAATGACCATTTAGTGACTTTTCTGAAACAGAAAACTAATTATGTCTCTCCTCTATCTAAAATTATATGGTGTCATTTATATTTGTGTTATTAAAGTAGAGTAAATAGCAAGGAGCCCAGTTACACTCTCCTCCCTCACTCATGAACCGTTTCCTCTTCCTCAACCAGCTAAGAACTCCTTACCATTCTCTTCAGGCCACCTAAGCCAGAGTTCTCTGTGCAGACAGAGCTAAATGGGCAAAACAGAAGATGGATGATCACACTAGACCATGAGACTCCTGCATCCTGCTAAGGAATCTGAGGAGGGAAGTTCAATTGAGTCTAGAACCACGTCAGTTTCCTAACATCAGGGACAGGGAGGGATGTGATCCACCAGAAAGGTTTAGAACAGAACTGCAGTTAATCCCTGACCTGAGCAAAAGGAACACAAGAAAGTATATTCATACTCTAGTTCAGAAAGTTGCAAAGCTGACAGCCATCAACACTAACTTCTTGAAGCATTATCCCTATGGAATACAGGTTCACCAAGCCTAGCTATAATGAGAATTGTGCATCACAGCCACAGAGACAGATAGGAATAATCTTTTAACTTCATGGGGCATCTCATAAAGTTATTTAAGTACACACATATGTTTATATATATAACACAATACATATACAGATATAGAATTGCATAATCTAAAAAACCAAAAAAATCAGTCAACCCAGCACCCTTCAGTGGCTATCACCTATGGATAAAATTTAAGCTCTTTAGCAAGATATACAAGATCCTTAAATCGCTCCTTGCAACTACCCACTTTCATCTCTTGTCTTGAATTCTTCTTTTCCTAGTAATACAAACCTGTTTAATTTTCCAGACATATTTTCACATTTATGTGCTTTTGTGCATGCAATTTCTTTTACCTAGAAACTCACCCCTGTTATCAGTCTTCTGATAAATTCCCATTGATTCTTTAAAACTCTATCTTCCCAGGTGCTCCCAAATTCAAGGGAAAATATGGGCTCAATATGTTACTGAATTGAGCAACTTATTTGTTTAGCTCTCCAGTGACCAACCACCCCATGTAGGTCTTCTAGTGAAGGATTATCCCAGGCAGTCCTGGTTGATTGGTCACTCCACTCCACAAACACAGAAATGTGCCACAATCATTCCATATTCTAGCTACATAATATTTATTAAAAAAAAATAAAATGTTTGGGCCTCCCTGGTGGCACAAGGGGTAAAGTCTCAGCACTATGAAGCTATCGGCAGCCACTGTAGCACAAGTTTAATCCTTGGGACCTCCCCAGAAAGCCAACCCACATGGTGCAGCAGACCTCTCCTGGCTCACCTGCTGCTCAGCAGTGTATTTCAGTCAATCCATCTGTTCTGTTCCCCACTCTGTCTCTGGTGAATCCTCTCACCTCCTTACCCCACACCTCTGGCCTACACCCCAGCTCTTCTATGCATAAATGAAAAAAAAAAGTTTAAAATAATGGATGAATCAGGCAAAGATGGCTGTCCACAGTCCAATTACCCAAAGAACTAAACAACAGTCTGATCTCGCTGCAGACTTATCTTTATTCTTCGATTGGTAGGGCTATCATTAAAGACTAATACATACAATGTATCTGATGTCACCTATGTAGATTAGGCAAAGAGCCAAACAGGAAGAAAGCAGCTAATAAAAACTTCTGAAGTATTGACACCGTTCTTCACCAAATTCCTACCAATACTATTAAAACCTGGCTGGGAGTATGTGATGGGCAGAAAGGTCAATCACCAACTACATCTGTGTTTACTCTGAAATGAGGTAATTGAGAAAACTGAGAACATTTCAACAGCAGCTAAAGAACAGAGGTGTCTCTCTCCACTGAATTCAATTTGTGTGTGAACTGTCGAGGACCACGATATTATTTACTAACTATGGTAAAAAGTTCTCTTGAGTATTTTTGTACAGATTCCCAAAAATGTTTGCAACTAAAAAACTCTTTACAAAACCTACCTCTATTAATTCCGTAGCAATAAGTCTATAGACTCCACTGATCAGAGAACCCCTATCAAAAGTTGTTCCTAAGATGCAAACACCAGACAGATATAAAGGCAAAAAACTAAAAGGGTTGGGAGAGGGAGAAAATGTTTAACCTCATTTGAAAACTATGTTACCTGTTGTTCAGCAAAATGTTAGAACATTTAATATCCCGATGCAGGAAATTCTTTTTGTGACAGTAATCCAATCCTTCCATTAGCTGTTTCATGAAAGATTTTATATGGTCCTCAGAAAAGTGCACCAAACCAGATTCTAGCAGTCCCATTAGGTCATGATCCATATACTCAAATACAAGGTAAAAGGCACCTACACAGATAAAAGAAAAAATTAAAAACAAAAAAAATGAATGCTGAAATGACAATACCTCAAATTCTTATATAATTTGGGAATTGACCATAAACGCCTCTGGAATATCATTAAATTTTATAGATTAAAATACTGAAAATAAGAGTGTTCATTAATTTGCCCTTTCTAAAAATAAAAAAGGTAACAATTTGAATTAATCTTTCAGCTGTCAACGCTTTCTGAACTGCTTATATTTTGGGGGTTAGGGGTGGGCCCAATCAGGTTACAAATGTAGTCTTTTATGATCTATGTTAATTGGCAAATTGCAGACGTTCTGCTAAATCCGGTCTATTATCTGTTGCTGTAAATAAAATTTTATTTGTAACACACAACCACACCCATTTGTTAATATTATCTATGATGATTTTTGTGGGAATCTTAACCATAACAGTATTCATATAATATACCAGGGGCAGCTTGGTAGCTATTATACATTATATAAATCATTAGCAAATTCATAGTATTTACGAATTAAAAGGTGAACCATTTAATCCAATTCCCTAAATTTAGAAGTGGATAAAATAAACAAGTAGCACACTAAGAGAATTGTAAAGATTTGAAATCCACTCTATTACTTTCAACAGGGTGCATGACTGAGGCAAACACTCTAATGAGAAATACTAGACCTAGACAATAACCTATCAGTCTAAAACTCTGTCTCCTGGTAGCATAAAGGCAAAAATTCTTTTTATAAGTCCCTGGTTCCTTCAGGTATAGTCACTGCAGCACTCCCACCACCAAAGCACCATAGTCTTCCACCAAAGTCCACTGTGCTTTCCTCTACTCCAAGACAAGAATTCTTTTTTTTTTTTTTTTTAATAGAGGCATGTTTTTATTTATTTATTTGTTTGTTTGTTTGTTTTGTTTATACAAGCACTGGGTATAGTCAGAAGCGCAGGAGGGTGAAAGAATTCACCAGAGGCAGAGCGGAGAACGGAACAGGCAGACTGATGAAGTACACTGCTGAGGGGAGCAGCGGGCAGTAGGAGAGGTCTGCATGCCATGTGGAACCTCGCCCCGCGGGGAGGCCAGGGATCAACCAGCGCTGCAGAGGCTGCAGGCAGCTTTGCAACCCCATGCTCAACCGCCGCGCCACCGGGGAGGCCCTAGCATGCAAAATTTTAAACATTTTTTTAAGCGGATCTATAAAATGTTTAAAGAGGTCTATGGGGGGCCTCCCTGGTCGCGCAAGAGTAAAGCACAGCACTGTGAAGCTACCCACAGCCTCTGCAGCAGGAGTTCTATGCCTGGCCAGTCAGGGAGCTGGCGCAGCAGACTTCTCCTGTCGCCGCAGACCTCTCCTGTCGCGCCTGCTGCTCCCTCAGCAGTGTATTTCAGTCTGCCTGTTCTGTTCCCCACTGTCGCTGGTGAATCCTCTCACCCCCTGCACTTCTGGCCTGTACCTTAGTACTTACATGCATAAATAAATAAATCTTTAAAAATAAAATAAAATAAAAAAATAAGGAACTCTATGACCCCTGAAAAGGTAAGAACTACTACTGCATTAAAGGAATATCTTAAAGAAACTTAGCTAAGACCTCATACAACTTAAGAAAATCACTAAAACCATAAAAGTGGACAGAGGACAAAAGGACAACAAACAAACAAAACAAAATTAAAATTATAGCAACAGAAAATAGATTGGTGGTTACCAGAAGGGTAGATGGTAAGGGTGTGGGCAAAATGGGGATTAAGGGGAACACACTTCCAGTTACAAAATAAATAAATCAAGGAAATATATTGTACAATTAATAATCAATACTAGGGTACTGCAAATTTGAAAACTGCTAAGAGGAGATGGTAAATAGACTGATTGGGATCATCATTTTGCAATGTATACAAATGTCAAATCATTATTTTGTATATCTGAAATTAAAATAATGTACAACATATTTTAATAAAAATCAATAAGAAATAAAACTGATCAACATGAAAAAACAACTCAGAATTAGCATAAGGAATGCAATCCAAAATAATACCACACTCCACCTATCAAGGTAACTTTATATGGCGATGGGACATCTGGTGGTGGACATGGTGAAAAATGTAATCTGAGTACTTATGCAGTGTTATAAACTAATGTTACCTCAATAAAAATAAAATAAGTAGAAAACCAAAAAAACTCACAACTTTTTAAAAAAGATATACTCAATATTAAAGTTGATATAGTGGAATGGGCACTCACTGGTGGAACATAAATTGTTTCTATCTTTCTTAAAAGCAATCCAACATTAAATATGGAAAATTCCTTTGGGTAAACAATTCTACTTCTAAGCAGGGGCCCCTCTGGTGGCACAGGGGTTAAGTCTCAGCACTATCAAGCTATCACCAGCCACTAAAGCATGCCGTAGATCCCTGGCCAGGGAGCAAATCCACATGGCGCACCAGACCTCTCCTGTCTAACCTGCTACTCCCCTCAGCAGTGTATCTCAGTAGATGCCCCTGTTTTGCTCCCCACTCTGTCTCTGGTGAATCTTATAACCGCCCATGCCTCTGGCCACACCCCAGGACTTCTATGCATAAATAAATAAAATAAATCTTTTTACAAAAGTATACTAAGCACATAAATCAAATGCAAAGATTTATGCACAAAGTTGTTCAATACAGAACTATAATATTTTTTTAAACTGGCAAATACTTGCTGAACAGAGACTGATGAAGTAAATTTGGATTTATCTAACTTTGTTTTTTTTTTAATTAATTCATTTATTTATACAAGAACCAGGGTATAGGCCAGATCTATGTGAAGGTGAGAGGACTCACTAGAGACAGAGCTGGGAACAAAACAGGCAGACTGACGAAATACATTGCTGAGGGGAGCAGCGGGTGTGAAAGGAGAGGTCTGCCGCACCATGTGGGACCCTCACCAGCTGGCAGAGATTGAACCGGTGCTGTAGATGCTGAGGAAAGCTTCACAGCGCTGCACTCAACTGCCTGCGCCACCAGGGGAGGCCCAGGATTTAGCTACCTTTGAGTACAGTTATTAATACATGTTAATATTGGGAATTGCTTATGACAAGTTATGAAACCTTAAACATACCGTGATCTTGCTTATGGCAAAATAAATATGTATAATATAAAGTACTAGAAAAAAATATGCCAAAATACTAATACCATAGTGGTTTCTATGGGTGGTGGTTTTGAAGAGGAGAGAATGGAGTGTAGAAATTATAGTGGAGAGAAGTAACTGCTATTTTTCTTTTCTAATTCTTCTATACTTTTTTATAATGGGAATGTATCACATTCAGTTATATTATTTATTTAAAAAAAAAGCTTCAACATTACATAGTAAATTATTCAAACAAGAAAATGGCATGAATAAAAATAAATCCTTGCTGGAGCAACCAATTAACATTTTCTTGTGCATCCTTACAGAACCTAGCTATACATTACATTATTTTTATGATCAGAGAAATATACTTAGTATTCTAATTCTGCTCAGACTTAACTTTTATAAATTTATCTAAATATTTATTTGCTTTTAAACTATATCTACCAAGGGCCTCCCCTGGTGGCGCAGGCAGTTGAGCGCCGCACTATGAAGCTGTCCGCAGCCTCTGCAGCGCCGGTTCAATCCCAGCTAGCCAGCGAGGATCCCACATGGCACGGTGGACCTCTCCTGCCTTGCTCACTGCTCCCCTCAGCAGTGTATTTCGTCAGTCTGCCTGTTCTGTTCCCCTGTCTGTCTCTGGTGAATCCTCTCACCCTCCCTCGCATCTGGCCTGTACCCCAGTTCTTGCATAAATAAATAAATAAATCTTAAAAAACAAAACAAAACAAAAAAAACAACAACAAACTATATCTACCAAACTTGAGGTGGCTATACCCCCGGGGATAATCTCTGAAGCACTGCTTAACTTTATCCATTAATCTCCAATTTTATGTAAATTAATCATAATCTCACAATATTCAGAGCTATATTCACAGATGCCATCTTCATAGATGATCTCTAAACCTTCAGATTTGCTATAGTAAAAGTAGGTTGGATCACAGTCATACATATTTGAATTATTTCAAACATAATTATATGAACAGTAATTTTTATCCCACTAAGACAAAAGTTACAAATCTAGGGGAGCATACCACTATGTAACCTAAATGAGATTGTTTTAGATAGACCTTCTTTGAATGCTAAACTATGTCAGTGCAAAACTGTGTAAAAATATGGATACATATAAACAAAAACTAGATAAGATAATGTAAAAAATATGAGAATAACTGATGTAGGTTTTCAATTCTATTATTTTTGTTATAATTTGTTAAAAGGAAATAAAAGGTCTAAAATGTTAAAAGAGGATCTTACATTGTTTATAAGCCTGCTTTATTAGGTGTTAGCACAGACTCTTAATGACTTCTAAAAGTATAAGAGTACACTGACGAAGAATGGTATTTTATATAATACATTGCTCAGCAATCTGTCAACATCATAATTTTGGTATGGATTAAAGAAGCTGGGGTCTCCCTGGTGGCGCAGGTTGTTGAGCACAGCGCTGTGAAGCTGTCCACAGCCTCTGCAGTGCCAGTTCCATCCCCGCCAGCCTCTGAGCAACCCACATGGCTAGCAGACCTCTCCTGTCTCGCCCACTGCTCCCCTCAGCAGTGTATTTCGTCAGTCTGCCTATTCTGTTCCCCACTCTGTCTCTGGTGAATCCTCTCACCCTCCCATGCATCTGGCCTGTACCCCAGTTCTTGTGTAAATAAATCTTTAAAAAAAAAAAAGAAGATGACTTTAGAATGAACTGCTAACCATTTCAAACAGGCAAAGGAAATTAAGATGTACTAATCTATCCTACAGAAAGGTGGTTCTTTGCTGGTACCTTTGTCCTTCTTGAAATCCAGAGCATCTTGTTTATCGGTGACAATTTCCTTCATGTTAACAACACTTCGATGGATTAGTTGACGCAGGATTTTGATCTCACGAATGGCTGTGATTGGGAAGCCCTCTTTCTCATTGTCCAGTCTCACCTTCTTTAGAGCCACTAGCTCGCCTGTCACAACAAATTCAAGCAATTATTAGTATTGGTTAGCATTTTCTAGCCATCATTGTGAACCCTGCTCTAAAAGACAAATTTAGGGCCTCCCCGGTAGCGCAGCGGTTGAGCGCTGGGTTGCAAAGCTGCCCACAGCCTCTGCAGCGCCGGTTCGATCCCCGGCTGCTCCCCGGCCATCGGAGGAGGATCCCACATGGCGCGCAGACCTCTCCTGCCTCCTGCTGCTCCCCTCAGCAGTGTACTTCGGTCCTTCTGCCTGCTCTGCTCCCGGCTCTGGCTCTGGTGAATTCTCTCACCCTCCCGTGCTTCTGACTGTACACAGTGCTTGTATGTATGTATGTATCAATCAATCAATAAATAAATAAATCTTAAAAAAAATCAAAAAAAAAAAGACAAATTTACTGCCTACTTTAATGCTATATACCACATACCTCTATTTAAAAAAAAAAAAAATTCCTATGTTCTCTTTATCTTTGATTTTAAGACTTGAAAATTTTAATTCAAATACAATTAGGCCCGGGCCTCCCTGGTGGTGCAAGGGGTTAAGTCTCAGCACTATGAAGCTATCAGCAACCACTGCAGCACTGAGTTTGCTCCCCGACCAAGAAGCTAATCCACATGGCCCAGCAGACCTCTCCTGTCAGCAATGTATTTCAGTCAATCTGCCTGTTTTGCTCCCCGCTCTGTCTCTGGTGAATTCTGTCACCCCCCCCAACACTCCCCACACTTTTGGCCTATACCTCAGCTCTTGCATGCATAAATAAAATAAATCTTAAAAAAAAATTCAATCAGGCCTAAAACTTTTGGACTACTAAAATGCATCAATAAAAATAAAATAAAATAAAATAAAATAAAATAAAATAAAATGCACCATTAAGAAGGGGAATGGGGGAAGGGGAAAACATATACCAATATTTCAACTACTTCATTTTATCTTTAAGAACTGACACCTCTATCAAGCAGAGGAACCTATAAATTTTTATCTTTTTTCTGTTTTTCAGCAAGCAATCATGAAACATTTACAGTGGACAACAACAACAAAAACAGAAATAGGGCCTCCCTAGCGGCCTCAGGGGTTAAGTCTCAGTGCTACCAAGGCAAAGGCCCACTATGCACATGGCTCAACAGACTTCTCCTGTCTTGCCTGCTGCTCCCCTAAGCAGTGTATTTCACTAGATCCACCTGTTCTGCTCCCCAATCTGTCTCCGATGAATCCTCTCAACCCACCTCCCCCACATCTCTGGCCTGTACCCCAGTTCTTCTACACAAAAATAAATAAAATCAGGCCTCCCTGGTGGCACAGGTAGTTGAGCGCTGCACTGTGAAGCTGTCTGCAGCCTCTGCAGCATGCGTTCAATCCTGGCCAGCCGGGGAGAAACCCACATGGAGTGGCACATCTTCTCACCATCCCGCGCATCTGGCCTGTACCCCGGTTCTTGTATAAATAAATAAAAACAATCTTTAAAAAATATAAATAAATAGGGCTTCCCCTGGTGGCGCAGCAGTTGAGCGCTGGGCTGCGAAGCTGCCTGCAGCCTCTGCAGTGCCGGTTCGATCCCCGGCTGCTGGTGAGGGTCCCACATGGCAGGCAGACCTCTCCTGCCGCCTGCTGCTCCCCTCAGCAGTGTATTACGTCCATCTGCCTGTTCTGTTCTCCGCTCTGGCTCTGGTGAATTCTCTCACCCTCTCGCACTTCTTTTTTTTTTTTTTTTTTTTATTTTTATTTTTATTTTTTTTTTTTTTAATAGAGGCATGTTTTATTTATTTATTTATTTGTTTGTTCATTTGTTTTGTTTATACATGCACTGGGTACAGTCAGAAGCGCGGGAGGGTGAGAGAATTCACCAGAGCCAGAGCGGGGAGCAGAACAGGCAGAAGGACCGAAGTACACTGCTGAGGGGAGCAGCGGGCGGCAGGAGAGTTCTGCGCGCCATGTGGGACCCTCCTCCGGTGGCCGGGGAGCAGCCGGGAATCGAACCGGCGCCGCAGAGGCTGCGGGCAGCTTCGCAACCCAGCGCTCTACCGCTGCGCCACCGGGGAGGCCCTCACCCTCTCGCACTTCTGACTGTACCCAGTGCTTGTATAAATAAATCTTTAAAATATAAATAAAATCTTTTAAAGATTTATTTATTTATTTATACAAGAACTGGGGTACAGGCCAGATGTGCGGGAGAGTGAGAAGATTCACCAGAGGCAGACTGGGGAACAGAACAGGCAGACTGATGGAATACACTGCTGCAGGGAGCAGCGGGCGAGACAGGAGAGGTCTGCCACACCATGTGGGTATCTTGCCAACCAGGATCGAAACTGCACTGCAGAGGGTGTGGACAGCTTCACAGTGTGGCACTCAACCGCCTGCTACCAGGGGAGGCCCAAAAATAAACAAGATCTTCAAAAAAAAAAAGTAATAATATAGCAGAAAACAATTATGCTGTGCTTTTTGAAAATTTAGTCTATTTAGTAACTTCAGGAGACAGAACTGAAACACAAAATTTACTTTCGCTAATTCTACTTAAGATGTTATTAGTATTGCTAAATTTTTATATTTCTAACATACAGAATTCTAAGCAGTATTTACCTGTGTCTTTGTCCTTGGCTTTATATACTTGGCCATAGGTTCCTTCTCCAATAATCCCAATAATATCAAACTTGTCCACACAACGTTTTCCCCAGTCGCTTTCTGTTTGTCTTCTTTCTCCATAACGAGGACAACAAATTCTAAGAGGCAAAACAAAAATAAAATTTAAAAGTTATTTTAAAAAATTAAGTCTATTCAGGGGCCTCCCTGGTGGCTCAGGGGTTAAAGATACAGGGCTATCAAGATATCCACAGCCACTGCAGCACAAGTTCAATCCCCGGCCAAGGAGTTGACCCACTTTGCACAGCAGACCTCTCCTATCTTGCCCACTGCTCCCCTCAGCAGTGTATCGCAGTAGATTTGCCTGTTCTGCTCCCCACTCTGTCTGTGGTGAATCCTCTCACCCTTGACACCTCTTGCCTACACTCCAGATTTCTTGTATGTATAAATAAATAAACCTTAAAAAAAAAATTAGGGCTTCCCTGGTGGCACAGGAGTTAAAGACAAAGTGGCTAGCAAGCTATCGCCACTACTACAGCACACGTTTGATCCCTGGTTGGCCAAGGAGCAACCCATATGGTGGAGCAGACCTCTCCTATCTCACCCACTGCTCCCCTCAGCAGTGTATTTCAGCAGATCTGCCCGTTCTGCTCCCCACTTTCTCTGGTGAATACTCTCACCCCTCCCCCACATCACTCCTCTGGTCTACACCCCAGTTCTATGCATAAATAAATCTTTAAAAAAATTAAGTCTATTCAAAGATGAAAAGAGAATTCTTTTATGATGAATTCTTTGGCTCTTGATTCTTTCATCTTTCTTTATTGAAAAGGCAGGAATCAAATAGTATAAAAAGAATAGTTTAGACCATTTCTCACAGTGGCTAAGACACGGATATTTGTCTTTAGGAAGAAATAAGATCAAATAATAGATCTGCTACTTACTTTCTGACTTCTATTAAGTATTGCTTTCCTCAGCTACGAACTGGGGAAAGAAACTCTACATCATAGGGCTACTATGAGAATAAAATCTAAAACCCTGGGAATGACACATGATCAATAAATATTTTATTGAGAGGAATGCGAACAACCGAAAAGGTTAAGCCAAATTTATGTGGTTTAAGGGGGGGTGGGAAATGCCACATCTATTAATTTTTCATTTATTGATACATTATGTACATTTCATATTATATACATGGTTGACACATCCCGACTAAATGGATTTTTTTCTTCTTTAATATTCTATTACAAACTAAAAAAATAGGAAGGAATCAAGAGCTCGTGATATATTTGGTTGTAGAAAATTTTTGTTTTCCTGAAAAACAGTTGGATCTCTAAATTCCGCTTATGCAGGGGTCTCCCTAGTGGTTCAGGGGTTAAAGTCTCAGCGCTATCAAGCTATCACCAGCAGCTGCTAGCCACTGCCAGTCACTGCAGCCTGAGTTTGATCCCTAGCCAGGGAGCTGACCCACATGGCGCAGCAGACCTCTCCTGTCTCACCCACTGCTCCCCTCAACAGTGTATTTCAGTCAATCTGCCTGTTCTGCTCCCCACTCTATCTCTGGTGAATCCTCTCACCCCCCCCCCGCATCTCTGGCCTGTGCCCCAGTTCTTGTATGCATAAATAAATAAATAACAAAACAAACAAATAAATAAAAGAACAGGTCCCTCCAAAAACTCACTTTGGTCTCTTTTTATATGGGTGCTGAGGTGGTGTGCTTGACTTTGGTTCTGGAGATTCTGGGGGAGACGGATCCCCACCAGGGAGCTCAGGAGGGAGAGGGAGGTCTGTGAGTAAGTGACGTGTCCTTTGTTCCTTCTCTTTCTTTACAGGTTTTGAAGGAAGAGTTTCTCTTGGACTAAACAATAGAAAGGAAGAAAAGAAAAGATCACAACTAAAGAATATGCACATAAAACTTTTTAAAGCTTATATAGTAGACTACACCTATTCAAGGAGAGTATATTCCAAGACCTCCAACAGATGCCTGAAACTGCAGATAGTACTGACTTTTATATATGCTATGTGTTCTCCTATATGTACATATCCATAGTAAAGGTTAACTTATAAGTTAGGTGCAGTAAGAGACTAACAACAGTAATAATATAGAACCTTTATATAATAAAATTTTGTGAATGTGGTCTCTACCAAAATCTTATAGTAAATATTATCTCCCAATAGTGGTAAAGGGGGATATTTCTATAATGTCTGCTGATTACAAGGATTTCAAGAGAAAAAAGCCTTTAACTTAAGGAAATAGAACATAGCACAGTAAAACTTACCTGGACTCTGCAAAAAGAATCTATATTAAAGAGACAATTAAAACTTTGGGTATTATTTGTAGCTCCAGTAACAACATGTTCTCTAATGTCCTTCCTAAGCTCCTATTAGTATTTTCATTGAGATGAAATGAAATACAGGAAGCCATCATTTTAAATTCACAAAGCAGCACTGCAACTCACTGGAGTTCACCAAATCTGTGTTTTTCCACTGGGTAGTCCCCTTACCTTCTTTCACATGCAGAAAATTTCTGCACTCCTTTCTCCCGGCAAGGTCCTTCAACTGGTCTTTTTACTAATGGAGGCCTTTCCCCATTCCACCCCTTTCACCACCTAAGGCCCTCTTATTCAGATCTCAATTTAAAATGTATTTTCCGGGCCTCCCCTGGTGGCGCAGCGGTTGAGTACTGGGCTGAGAAGCTGCCCGCAGCCTCTGCAGCGCCGGTTCAATCCCCGGCCACTGGCGAGGGCCCCACATGGCGCGACAGACCTCTCTTGCCGTGCCCGCTGCTCCCCTCGGCAGTGTATTTCTTTGTCAGTGTGCCTGTTCTGTTCCCTGCTCTAGCTCTGGTGAATCCTCTCACCCTCCCACGCTTCTGACTATACCCAGTGCTTGTGTAAATAAATAAATAAATCTTTAAAAAAAATAAAATATAAAAAAATAGAATGTATTTTCCTCTAATGAGAAGCAAGCCTTTTCTAACCCTTGACTTGATAAGATCATCTGTGGTATTATTTAAAACTTTTCTTTAGGGGCCTTCCCGGTGGCGCAGCGGTAGAGCGCTGGGTTGCGAAGCTGCCCGCGGCCTCTGCGGCACCGGTTCGATCCCCGGCTGCTCCCGGCCACCGAGGAGGGACCACATGGCGCGCAGACCTCTCCCGCCCGCTGCTCCCTCAGCGGTGTGCTTCGGTCCTTCTGCCTGCTCTGCTCCCCGCTCTGGCTCTGGTGGGTTCTCTCACCCTCCCGTGCTTCTGACTGTGCCCAGTGCATGTATAAACAAAAAAAAACAAAAACAAAACAAGCAAACAAATAAATAAAGAAAAAAAAAAAAAAAAAAAAAAATAAAACTTTTCTTTAATAGCACTTCACTATCAAAATTAAGTACATGGGGCCTTCCCAGTGGTGCAGCAGGTTGAGCCCAGCACTGTAAAAGCTGAGCACAGTGCTGTGAAGCTGTCCACAGCCTCTGCAGCGCCGGTTCGATTCCAGGCCGGCCAGGAAGATTCCACATGGAGTGGCAGACCTTTCCTGTCTCACCCGCTGCTCCCCTTGGCAGTGTATTTCAGTCTTTCTGCCTGTTCTACTCCCTGCTCTGTCTTTGGTGAATTCTCTCACTGTCCCGCGCCCCCAGCCTGTACCCCCAGTGCTTGTATAAATAATAAATCTTAAAAAAAAAAAACCCATACTAGACAGTAAGTCCTTTTTATACCATCACAGTATAAAAATGTTAAGAAGAATCTTGGGATTCTACCCACACCAGGAGCCTACTCCATTTTTTTGACAAGTAGATATATAAAAAAAGTATACTCTTTGCATGAATATTTCTATTATAGAAGAACAAAGAATAGATTTATCCCTTACAACGTATATTTTTTTTTTTTTACAACGTATATTTTAAAAGTATACTACTACCGGGCCTCCCGGTGGCGCAGCGGGTTGAGCACTGGGTTGCGAAGCTGCCCGCGTCTTCTGTGGCGCCGGTTCGATCCCCAGCTGCTCCCCGGCCACCGGAGGAGGGCCCACATGGCGCGCAGACCTCTCCTGCCGCCCGCTGCTCCCTCAGCAGTGTACTTCGGTCCTTCTGCCTGCTCTGCTCCCCGCTCTGGCTCTGGTGAATTCTCCCACCCTCCCGCGCTTCTGACTGTACCCAGTGCATGTATAAAAAAAACAAACAAAAAAATAAAAAAAACATGCCTCTATTTAAAAAAAAAAAAAAAAGTATACTACTACCCTTTTTTGTGTCCAATCTCAAAACCTACTACTTCTTACCAATTTTTATCATTTTATTTTTTTTTTTTAAAAGATTTATTTATTTATTATACAAGCACTGGGTACAGTCAGAAGTGCGGGAGGGTGAGAGAATTCACCAGAGCCAGAGCAGGGAGCAGAGGGCGGCAGGTGAGGTCTGCGCGCCATGTGGGACCCTCCTCTGGTGGCCGGGGAGCAGCCGGGGATCGAACCGGCGCTGCAGAGGCTGCGGGCAGCTTCCCAACCCAGCGCTCAACCGCTGCGCCACCGGGGAGGCCCCAATTTTTATCATTTTAATCTCTTGTAAATAAGACAGTACAATTAGTTTGTACCACATCATTTGGAGTACAAAATGATCCTCTGAAACTTTGTGGTGAATCTTGTAGAGATGAACACACACATATTTATCATTTGCACTAAGATTTTTCTATCTTTGGAAGAAAGCCTACTGCCGGAAAACTCAAGTCAGGGTGTAGTATAATTCTAAAAATTTCTCTAGTTTTTAAAACATTCAGAGAAAGAAAAATTCCTAATTTCTCAATTACTAATGTCCATTTCAATTCCTCATGATTTTTCAGAGGCATCATTTGTACTCCACAGTCTATGTTGGTTCTGAGTGAGGTAGTATAAACTAATCTAGATTTGATTGTACTGTCTGATTTCAAGAGATTAAAATGATATAAAAATGGTAAGAAGTAGTAGCTTTTGAGTCTGCTTTACTAGACTCAAAGTATCTAAATTCTCTCACCATCTTTTCATTTCAGTTCAATTTATGTTTTATATTTAGGGTTTACTGTACAGTTTTAAATATAGTACAGTTCGCTGTGAAAATGTGTATTGCCCCTGAAAAGTTACATTTTAGCACATTTATTACAAGAAGAACGTGTTTTGGTAGGAGATAGACTACCAGTTTAGGGCACACAATTGAATAGAGGTCAAATCCTGTTTCAACAAATACCAATGTATCAAAAACATGGAAATAGGGGCCTCCCCGGTGGCGCAGCGGTTGAGCTGGGTTGCGTAGCAGCCCGCGCCTCCTGCGGCGTCGGTTCGATTCCCCGGCTGCTCCCCGGCCACCGAGGAGGGTCCCACATGGCGCGCGACCTCTCCTGCCGCCCGCTGCTCCCTCAGCAGTGTACTTCTCTCCTTCTGCCTGCTCTGCTCCCTGCTCTCTGGCTCTGGTGAATTCTCTCACCCTCCGGCGCTTCTGACTGTACCCAGTGCATGTATAAACAAACAAACAAACAAATAAATAAAAAAAAAAATGCCTCTATTTAAAAAAAAAAAAAAAAATTAAAAAAAAAAAAAACATGGAAATAATGATGCGGCATAAAATTGCAATGCTTAACAATATTATGGCCTCTAATCTTTAGTGTACTGTCAAGTAGTAAAATATAGCTCTACACAGTGCTGAGACATATGGTAGATGCAGAGACAATCAAACACAGGGAAACAGATGCTGAACATTTAAGTCATTACATGAAGATTCAATATCAGAAAGTGCTTATCTACTTATCAATAATACTGATACCTCATTTATAGCTGAAGGTGAGTTCACATGTGGCTGCATAATATTCATGTATAATAATTTTAAAAGTTGTCAAGTTCTAGGCCTGCCTAGGATTTTACTAAGATGAAATAAAACAGGATATAATAAAATATATAGTATTAATAAATATTATAATAATATTATAAAATATATTATTATATTTTAGAATATGGATAGTCTATAGTCTATGGAATTTAGTTTATAGACACAATTTAGTTTATAGGCACCTCTAATAAGTCCTTATTGTTAATAAAGAATATAAAATGACATGAACTATTTAACAAGAAAATTAGTTTTTTGTTTTTTTTTTTTAAAGATTTATTTATTTATGCATATAAGAGCTGGGGCACAGGCCAGAGTTGCGGGGTGGGGGGGAGGGGTGACAGGATTCACCAGAGACAGAGTGGGGAACAAAGACAGGCAGACCGACTGAAATACACTGCTGAGGGGCAGCGGGCAAGACAGGAGAGGTCTGCCTCGCCAAGTAGGCTTCTCCCTGGCCGGCCAGGGATCGAACGTGTGCTGCAGAGGCTGCAGACTGCTTCACAGTGTGATGCTTAACCCCCTGCACCACTAGAGAAGCCCCAGAAAATTTTCTTGATAGATAATTTTTCAGGGCCTTCCTAGTGCCTTAAGGGGTTAAGCACAGCACCATGAAGCTATCCACAGCCTCTGCAGCACAAGTTTGATCCCCAGCAGGTTAGGGAGCTACCCACATGGGGCAGCAGACCCCTCCTGTCTTGCTTGCTGCTCCCCTCAGCAGTGTATTTCAGTAGATCTGCTTGTTCTGCTCCTCATTCTGTCGCTGGTGAATCCTCTCACCACCCCCTCCTCTGGCCTATACCCCAGTTTTTGTATGCATAAATAAATAAATCTTTTAAAAAAAGGTAATTTTCAAATTATAACAATATAAACTATTTCAAATGTGATTATTTATCCCCTCCACTTGAAGCAGGTCACTTAAAAAGTGATTTATTTTTATAAACAGATTCTATTGAAAATTTGAGTTGAATTCATAAAAAACGGGAACCACACATTTTAGTAACAAAATCCTAAATCAAATCTGAGTGCTCACACAGATCCTTTCTTTTTTATACAAAGCTCAATACTTTTATAAAGATATAAACTTAAAGGATAACATACTCTAAAATCATATAAACTCAAAATGAACCAGGTTATCCAAAAACAGACAAAATTTAAAAAACCCTATGTAGTTAACTGAAATCTTAAAGAAGAGCATATAGATGATCTCCTTAAAAGCAGGAGATCCCCATGAATAGCTATGTTCATGAAGAATGTACTATATCAAGTGGGTGAATCGGTACCCACCTTTGCTACTTGAAACCAAAAACTGCAAACCATGAATGAGAAAGGCTTTGACCATTAGTTAAATTCACTCCTGCACTGATACCTAGGTTAATACACTCCTCCCCTAAATATATATGATTGAAGGGAATTTCATTCTTATCCCAAAAGAAAACAAACACTCAAGTTTTACATCATCCATGTGTCAACTCACTTCTTTTTTTTTTAAGATTTATCTATTTATACAAGAATAGGTACAGGTCAGAGGCGCAGGAGGGTGAGAGAATTCACCAGAAAGAGTGGAGAGCAGAACAGGCAGATGGACCGAAGACACTGCTGAAGGGAGCAGGTGAGGCAGAAGAGGTCTGCCACACCATGTGGGTTTCTCCCTGGCTGGCCGGGAATCGAACCTGTGCTACAGAGGCTGTGGACAGCTACACAGCGCAGCGCTCAATCCGCTGTGCCACCGGGGAGCCCCTCAACTCATTTAACTACATGACCTGTGTAATTTCACATAAGCCCTAACCCTGACTCCTCCACACAGTTTTACTTATTCAAATAACCAATATTCACTGACTGCATTCTGTGTTCTACTGATACGGTCAAAGAACTATAGCACTATAATACAAAGATGAATCACATTCTTAAGATTAAAGATGCTGCAGTCTCACATGAGAAAACAGAAAGGAAATGTGAGTTTCATATGCAAATTTCAGATTTCTTCCTGAAAATGTTTCTTAAATCAAAATTATATTTTGGGGCCTCCCAGGTGGCGCAGTGGTTTAGCGCTGGGCTGTGAGGCTGCCCACAGCCTCTGAGGCGCCAGTTCGATCCCTGGCCACCGGTGAGGGTCCCACATGGTGCGCAGACCTATCCTGCCTCGCCCGCTGCGCCCCTCAGCAATGTCTTCGGTCCTTCTGCCTGTTCTGCTCCTCGCTCTGGCTCTGGTGAATTCTCTCACCCTCCCGCACATCTGACTGTACCCAGTGCTTATATAAATAAATAAATAAAATCTTTAAAAAAAAATTATTTTTTTGCCTCCCTGGTGGCGCAAGGGGTTAAGACACAGCCTATGGAGCTGTCTGCAGCCACTGCAGTATGAGTTTGATCCCCGGCCAGGGAGCTACCTACATGGCGCAGCAGACCTCTCCTAACTCGCCTGCTGCTCCCCGCAGCAGTGTGCTTTGGTCAATCTGCCTGTTCTGTTCCCCACTGTCTCTGGTGAATCCTCTCACCACCCGCGCCTCTGGCCTGTATCCCAGTTCTTGTATGCATAAATAAATAAGTCATTAAAAAAAAAAAAAACCTGATCGTGAAAGAATCTTCATATCTATTTAACAGTTCAGATTAAGTATCAGTGAAAAACATCTGATAATAATCATACATTTAAAAATAATTACATTAAAAAGTTTGCCTACTTCTCTCTTAGACACACTCTTAAAGACAGCCACAAATACTCCAATACTAAATAGCCTTATTTTACCCCTTTATGCCAAATTTGAAAGACAGAAATCACTATGTGCCTTTTATCAAAATCACTCTATCTCTAGAAATCTGCACACTGCACTGATACACAGTAGATAGGTTCAATAGTTATTTAGTAAGCCAAGTAAACATTTCAAAATTAGGATTTTTAGCCACACTGTTAGTTTTCTAACCACTATGTAAACTAATATTTACATGATTTTTCTCTAGGTAGATAATGATCAACTATTCTTTTTTCTTTTTTTTTTAAATATTTTTTTTTAAGATTTATTTATTTATGCATACAAGAACAGGGTTACAGGCCAGAGGTGTGTGTGTGGGGGGGGTGATAGGATTCACCAGAGACAGAGTCGGGAACAGAACAGGCAGACTGAATGAAATACACTGTTGAGGGGAGCAGTGGGCAGGTCAGGAGAGGTCTGCTGCGCCATATGGGTTGCTCCTGGCTGGGGATCAAACGTGCTGTAGTGGGTACGGTCAGCCTCATAGGTTGTGACTTAACCTCTTGCGCCACCAGGGAGGCCCAAGATTTATTTATTTATTCATATAAGAGCTGGGGTACAGGCCAGAGGTTTGGGGGTGGTGAGAGGATTCACCAGAGACAGAGTGGGGAGCAGAACAGGCAGACTGACTGAAGTACACTGCTGAGGGAAGCAGTGGGAGAGACAGGAGAGATCTGTTTCGCCATATGGGTTGCTCCTGGCTGGCCGAGAATCGAACTCATGCTGCAGTGGCTGCAGATAGCTTCATAGGTTGTGTCTTAACCCTTGCGCCAGCAGGGAGCCCCAACTATTTCTTTTTTCAACAAGAAGTATAAAAACACATTGCTTTTATCTGTGATGTGTATATTGTGTACTTCAAATTTTTCTACATAAAATACAAGTTCTATTTATTATGCTCAAACTGTGGTAGAAATTCATGAATAAGTATTAGAACATGTGGAATTTTTCTTTAAAATCTAGATTTACCACTGATTAATAATGGAGCCATTAGGGCCTCCCTGGTGGCGCAAGGGGTTAAGACGCAACCCATGAAGCAATCCGCAGCTACTGCAGCATGAGTTCAATGCCCGGCCAGGGAGCAACCCACATGGCGCAGCAGAATTCTCCTGGCTCACCCAGTGCTCCCCTCAGCAGTGTATTTCAGTCAGTCTGCCTGATCTGTTCCCCCTCTGTCTCTGGTGAATCTTCTCACCCCCCACACCACCGGCCTGTACCCCAGTTCTTGTATGAATAAATAAATCTTTAAAAAAAAAAAATGGAGCCATTAAATTTTTGTGTTGCGTGTAGAACTGCTGTGTAGGCCAGAGGTGTGGAGGGTTAAGAAGACTCACCAGAGACAGTGGGGAACAGAGCAGTGGATTTACTGAAATACACTGCTGAGGGGAGCAGTGAGTGAGACAAGAGGTCCGCTGTGTCATATGTGGGTTAGATTAGTTCCCTGGCCAGGGACTCCACTAAGACCACAGTGATGACAGCGCTGAGACTTAACCCATAGGCAAACAGAGGCCCCAAAATAGTTTTTTAAGATTTATTTATTCATGCATAGAAGAACCGGGGTACAGGCCAGATGCGCAGGAGGGTGAGAGGATTCCCAGAGACAAAAGCAGGGAACAGAACAGGCAGACTGACTGAAATACACTGCTGAGGGAGTAGCGGATGAAAGGAGAGGCCTGCCGTGCCATGTGGGATTCTCACTGGCCGGCTGGGATCAAACCCGAGCCGCGGACGCTGTGGACAGTTTCACAGCATTGCACTCAACCGCCTGCGCCACCAGGGGAGGCCCCCAAATATTTTTTAATATATCTAATGCACTTGCATCTTAAAAGGCACAGAGGGTAATCTGGAAAAATAAAGACCTAAAGGATTTAAATGTATCACAGTTCATACTACTGATGTCACCTAAAAAGTACGAAGGTTTGGAAATTGATCTGGAATGAAAGATAAGTGGTACTTATTTTCATTCTTACAATGAAAGTTTGTCAGAAAAATAAAACTCGGGGCTTCCTGGTGGCACTAGGTTAAGCACCGTGCTATGAAGCAATCTACAGCCTCTGCAGCACGAATTTGATTCCCGGCCCGCCAGGGAGCAACCCATATAGCGCAGATCTCTCCTGACTCGCCTGCTGCTCCCCTCAGCAGTGTATTTCAGTACATCTGCCTGTTCTGCTCCCCACTCTGTCTCTGGTGAATCCTCTCACACATACCCCATCTCTGGCCTGTACCCCAGCTCTTGTATGCATAAATAAATTTTTTTAAAAAAGAAAACTCATATCCTAGAGAACAAGAGGGCAGGATCTCAACAGAAAAAAAACAGTAACACAAAGACTGACACCTCATGTAATTGCTAAAGCTTGTTTGCTAACAGATACCTGCCTAGCTAGTTCTGCCAAGAAATTAAATATATTTCTTAATGCCTTCCATAAAGATTCATGCTTCACAATCATTTCAGTTCTCAATACTCAGAGGACTCATTAAAATTAGAGTTCTTACCATCATCCCATTGTGAATTTATATTCTAATTAGCAAAGATTCTACGTATTGTTCTTTTCCTTCCTACAGGAGAATTTTTTTTTTTTAAAGCATCAATTTTCAAAATAAACCTTTCTCCTGGATCTGGAGGAAAAAAAACAACTAGGAAAATTATTCAGATGATTATTGATATTATACTATTACACTGATTTTTTTTTAGGTGATGACACTGCTGTGATTATACAGGAAAAATGTTGTTAGGAGAGACATGCTGAAGTAATCAGAAGTAAAGGTCATGATAACTAAGGTAGCAAAAAGCTAACAACTGGTTCATTCTGGAGAAGAGTGTAAGGGTATTGTTCTTTTAATTTTTCTACACCTATTACAATATTCAACATAAAATTCAGGGAGAAAAATGCTACTGATTCTTAGAAACCTGAATAAAAATTAGCCTTACCAATAACTTGTAAGAAAATGTGTTACTAGGCCTCAAAACTCTCTCCCCAAGTAACATCATAACTGAAGTTTTCCACTGAAAATCAAACATCAAAGGCATTTCCTATTCATGAAAGCAATCTAACAGCCATGCATCAGAGAAGTTTTAACAAAATTTGAAAACAGAAATGTATTACACTTAGATCAAGAGGGTTAGGTTTTTCAGTTAACTATGACACTTACCTATCCATGTCATCATCTCCAGGTAATAAGGGTGGGAGAGGTAAAGGAGGCAATGTTGAAGTTTTTAGGTGTGGAATAGCAGCTGTTACAGATATTTGAGTCTTCACAGAAACCTGTACAGGGGGCTGAGAATTTGCCTGAGAGGACAGAGTAGATGTCCTTGGATGAGCAGAAGGGGTACAGTTGAAGTACTAGAAGCAAGAACCTGACTAAATGCTGGCTGGGGAGGAGGCAGAGGTGGTTGCTGTGGGATAGCTGGTAGCGGAGGCAAAGGTGGCAAAGGGGGTGTCTGAGGTGGAGGAGTAGTAGTTGGTAATGGAGGTGGAGGAGAAGTAACTGTGGGGAGAGAGAGGGGATCTCCTTTTCTGATGTTTCTGTCTCTTTTGGAGCAACAATCTCCTCTTTCAATGCTATGGGTTTAGAGTCTCTTGTTCCCTGTGCTTTCAAATCTTTAGGAACAGGTTGCTTTTCGGAGTTCTCATCCAACTTTATTTTCCCTGTATCTAAAGAATTTTTGACCTCTGTGTTACATGTGTTACATTCACCAGTTCAGTATCTGGGGCAGATTTCTCCAATTTTACACCTCTGGAGAACTTTTTATACTCCGAGCCTAAATCCTTAGCCTCTACTGAACTGTTCTCTTTTCTAGGCAAGAATATAGGTGACCCCTTGGATTCTTTTCCATCCATTTTTGCTGCTGCTGCAGCTGCTGCTCTTTCCTTTTTTTTTCTACTGAGTTCAGCTCCCAAGCTGGAGTTCAATGGAAGCCTGACAGGTGAGATACTGGAATGTCGACTGCGTGACCCGGATCGCTTCTTTTTACTATGAGAAGATGAGTGTCTTGAATATGCTGGACTTCTACTTCTAGACTTCATGGATTTCCTATTGGAAAAAGAAAAAGGCAAGAAGATAAATGCAGGCAACAGTGAAAAAAATGGATAGGTTACTGCAACATGGAGGAAAAGATCAGTAAAACAAAAATATGGAGAACTGTCAACTTAAAAAAACTTCTTGAGTAATTTAGCAATCTTAAAAATAGATTAGGTACCATCAAATAATAATGTATCACTACCAGTTCCCTAATTGAGTCATTAACTATAACAGGTGTACCACAGTGAAGTAAGATGTTAATGAAAAGGGAAACTGGATGCAAGAGCATTTAACAACTCCGTACAGTCTTCACAAAGTTTCTGTAAATCTAAAATTACAAAAAATATTTTAAAATATTTAGAAGGAACTAAATCCTGAAAAACATATTTGAATCATGTAACACTAAAAATATTCTCCACTGAAGGAAGATATTGATTTTTTCCCCACACTAGTAAATACCCATATTTGTGATGATTACTTTTAATGTTTTATCTCTGATCAAGTGAAAACAGTGACACTGTACACTAAAAGTGAGTTATAGCAATCAAGGAGTTAAAACTAACAAGCTTAACCAAAACCTAATTTTCTTTTTAAAGCTCTTACTTTTATTTTTTAATTTTTTAAGATTTATTTATGCATACAAGAGCTGGGGTACAGGCCAGAGGTGTAGGGGTGAGAGGATTCAAGAGACAGAGTGAGAAACAGAACAGATAGACTGACTGAAATACACTGCTGAGGGGAGCAGCGGGCAAGCCAGGAGAGGTCTGCTGCGCCATGTGGGTTGCTCCCTGGACGGCCAGGGTATAGAACTCATGCTGCAGAGGCTGCGGAGAGCTTCACAGGTTGCATTTTAACCCCTTGCGCCACCAGGGAGGCCCTAATTTTTTTTTTTAACTAGGGAGCTATTTAATGGACAGATCTCAGGACAAGATTATGTTCCTCAGTTTATAATTAAGTTATGCCTATACTAAACTAACCCCCAAAATATAAGACTCTCAAACTAAGAAACTGTCCTACCAAAATAATTAAAATTCCTCAAAAACATGATGGCCTTTGGAGCTTTCTCTATGAAATGATTTCCAATCAAGTTTTTAGGAATTCATAAAGCAACGTACTACTGCATGTTCAATTCACTTTCTTAATTAGCAAGGGAAACATTGGGAAGTGAAGTTTGGGACTCTATGAAACATATTATTCTAAATTGAAACCAAACCCTCACTGATTATTTTTCACTTACTAATAAAGCCACCAGTTTTTTCTCAGTGTGAGAAAAAAAGTAACATTAAAAGTGTGTGACTAGGGCCTCCCAGGTGGCGCAGCGGTAGAGCGCTGGGTTGCGAAGCTGCCCGCGGCCTCTGTGGCGCCGGTTCGATCCCCGGCTGCTCCCCGGCCACCGGAGGAGGGTCCCACATGGCGCGCAGACCTCTCCTGCCGCCTGCTGCTCCCCTCAGCAGTGTACTTCAGTCCTTCTGCCTGGTCTGCTCCCTACTCTGGCTCTGGTGAATTCTTTCACCCTCCCGCGCTTCTGACTGTACCCAGTGCATGTATAAACAAAACAAACAAACAAACAAATAAATAAATAAAAACATGCCTCTATTTAAAAAAAAAAAAAAAAAAGTGTGTGACTAGACAAAATGTGATCTGCTCAGTAGTCTAAAACAAATTGTTCACATTCCAGATCTTCAGTATCTCCCTTTATCTTTGATGACTGATTGGTAAAACTGACATGAATCAAAATGTTTCAAAAAAATAATAAGGAAGGCCTCCCCTGGTGGCGCAGGCAGTTGGCTGTGAAGCCATCGCAGCCTGTGCAGCACCGGTTTGATCCCAGCTGGCCAGAGAGAATCCCACATGGCGCAGCAGACCTCTCCTGCCTTGCCCGCTGCTCCCTTCAGCAGTGTATTTCAGTCAGTCTGCCTGCTCTGTTCCCCACTGTCTCTGGTGAATCCTCTCACCCTCCTGCGAGTCTGACCTGTACCCAGTGCTTGTATAAATAAATAAATAAATCTTTAAAAAAAAAAAAAAAGGGAAGGATGTGTAGGGGACAACAACTCAGATGATGGTAGTCATGGTTTTCTTATACCTGTACTATTTTTTCAAAATTTCCTAAAAAAAAAAAAAGTTATATTAAAGTCATTATAGGAATCAAATAACTTAAAACAACAATAACAACATGTATATATGAATACAAGGAAAGAATATTGATGTAGCTAAATGGATTTACCACATATCCACTTACCTTTAAGGAAGTTAAAACTTATCTTGTAAATAATAACTTTAATAAGGTGATTTTTTTTTCCTGATTGAATTAAAGCCAGGATAAAATAAACATCCTATCCCAGGAATAACTTCTAACCTTTAAAAATCCCAAACACTAAGTAATGTCAGAGGCCATTTTCTATAAACCATTGTTCTACCATCTTTCGATGTGACTAAATCTTCCTAAGGATCTCTGCTACAAATCCTTTAACTTCTGAACAGAAGACTACTGTCAATAAGAATGTTTGGATGGCCATATGCTTGTGGCATTTTTAATGACAGAAATGTTACATTTGAGGTCCAGATTCACTGTTCAAAAAAAAAAGGCAAGGGAGGGAGAGGAGACAATAAATAGGTAAATACAGACAAAAAATTTGTCTTCAATAACATGTATTTTCTCCTGAATTGTTTGGTCCTATACATTTGAAATGAAATTTCTACCACTAATCATTACTAATTTGGTGGACACAAAGATTTTCTGCTAAAGCATTTTCAATCTCTTAAAACAATGTTGCTTATTCAATTTTTACTGTTTCTCAAGGGAAAAGAGAATACCATAGGAGCTATATGTTTCTCTACTCTGACTGTAAAAAATTGTAGTTACTGTTTTTTAGAATTCCAATAAATGAGGAAAAATCTGTAATGCATACATACAAACATATAATGCTTTTTATAAGCCCATGAAAAATGTGGATATGAATCTGGGATTATGCAGTATTTATATTGTGCTTTATACTATCATATTGGGTCCCCAATTCTTTCCTTATTTTCACCGTTACTGCTCTGGCTCTGGCACCAATTAAGTGAGTATAGGAAGAGAGAACTTGAGAAATGAACCCAAAAAGAATCATGCAAAGCAGCAGTTCTTACTGAAACTCCTATTTTTTAGCTTCAATGCACTTCTGTCTTCCTAAACCCCCACAACAGTAAAAATGCTCAGAATAGCCTCAGTATAACTAGTCCCTCAAAAAACAAATTTTCTAAGAATATTTCTTAGATTTCTTTTAAAAACTAAGGAAGTTTACAAATGGCACACTTAGGAATTACTCATTTCACTGAATATAAATTTTACCCCTCAAACCTCTGGAAAAATTTGAACTCTAGCTAATGGCATACATGCTTAAGTATTTACAGTGAATGAAGTATACTGATGTCTGCAACTTGCTTTAAGATGACTCAAAACAAAAGATAGACTGATGGATTTAACATAAATTGCAAATATTAACTGTAGAATCTATATGGTACATACATGGGTCTTCATTACAATCTTTTACCTTTTCTAAGCTTGAAAAATTATAAAAAAATGGGACAGAGTTGGGAAGGGAAGACTAAGGAACTTCAGAGTCTGACATCTAGGAATGCTGAAACCTGATGAATTCAAAATAGTTCATAGATAATTAAAACTTTAAGTAAACAAAAATTACTCACATGACATATAAAAGACATGGATGGATTTTTTTCAAATTAACATAGTTTCTCCACTAGAGTTTAACATTTTCCTCACAGAATTTACTAACAGGCTCCAGGTGTCAGTCACTGTGCTGTGCGTGTCATAGTTGCTTATTCATCCTCACATCAACTCTAGAAGTAGACAGTTATTATTCTTATCTTACACATGAAGAAACTCAGGCATGGATAAATTAAATTTTTTGCCCAAAGTCACAAAGCAAAATTAGAATTCCACTCAGGTGTAACCCCAAAGCCATGTTCTGCTTTTGTGGACAGAGAGGAGTATATCTCATCATCCAGAAACAAGAAGTTTTCTGTAGATAATTTACTCTAACAACTAACGTGCCTTTCTTGCAAAAATAGCACAGTGACGGTACTATTACCATTTAATTTTGAGAGAAAAATTCTGAAAATTGGCAGTACTCATAGGGCAGGCCAATGGCAATGCTGTAAGGAAAACCCAATTATCCTTGGAACCAATTTCTGCATCAAAAGGGAAAAAGGAGAGCCAGTTAAATTTCCATGAGCAATAACAGCTCAAAGTCTCTTACATGGTATCAAAATATCATCAATCACAAAGTAAGCTTTGACATTTAGCGACTTAGTGGGCAGCACAAATGGTATGTGACTTAAGCAAGCAGCTCGGATAAAATACAGCTGAAAATCTGTGATTTCCTACCTCTCCAATTAGGGCCATTGAAATCTAAAGACCAAGGTGATTTTTAAAAATTGAAAACAAAGCAACAGAAAAGGCCAGACAAGCTCTGCCAAGCAGCAGGGCTCCATGCCCTCGGGAAGCAGGAGCCCATTCCTCCTCACACATGAGCTGACAAGGGAGGAGCCCGCCACTGTAAAGCACCTACCTGTAGCAGTTTTAGGCACGTGAACTCTCCACTTGTCCACTTCTGGGGTAAGAGCTCGGACTCACCTACTTGAATGCCTAGCCTACTGAGTGTTCCAGTCAATGACGAACACCGGGGCTCAACAAAAGGCTGCCGTGCCCAACAGCCAGCTCCTCGCAACCCACCCAAGGAAAAGACCTTCGGCAAATGCTCACCTGGGGAGTGGACTCCGACTCAGAGACCGTTTGCTCATGAAAGGGCTGCTGGAGCGCCTGCGGCCGTAGGGACTGGGCGATCTCCCACTGTAAGAGCCGCTCCTTTCGTAGCTGGACGACCGCCTCCGACTGTAGGGGCTCACAGACCTCTGCCGTCGGCTGTAAGGGCTGGGTGACCGCGTGCTGGACTGGTAGGCGGACGGCTCCTTGTACGGTGGGCTAATGGACTGCCTTCTTGAGGTACCCCCAGGGCTCTTCTTGTAAGAGTCGTAGTTGCTAGAGGTGTGAGATCTTGGAGGACTGAGGTCATAATCTTGGCCGTAAGAAGCTCCTGAGGGGCTATCATCTTGCTTGGGGCTGACAGACCATTTCCTGTGAGGACTCCTGGACCTCCGTTTCGGGCTGTCCACGGTTTTGTAACTTTTGGGTGTTTCCCTTTTCCGATGACTTTTACTCCGGTCTTTGTGCCCAGACTTCACCTCGCGTTCCTTTCGGGTCTTCTCCTTATGCAGTTTGGATGACCTGGATTCCTTGATGCTGCTGCTTTTGGAGATCTGCGCCTTCCCGTACTCGTCATTCTCCTCATTTGAACGCTTTGAACTTCCTGATATCCGGTCCTTCATCGATCCTGACTTGCTGGAGACTTCCTGGTTTTTTTCCTTCTCGGTCTGCTTAGTTTTTAGTAAGTCCCGGGAACGTCTGTGCTGGTGGTGACGATGTTTGTGCAGGCGGTCACTCCGCTCAGTTCCACGACGTTCATCGTTTTCCCTCCTGTCTAACTTGAAGGCCATGTCGTCAGAAAAGGTATCGGAATCAGAGCTGATGTCATCATACTCCACCAAAGGTTTGATAACTGTACCCAAAGGTGCTGCTTCGGGAGTCATCAATCCCATGTCTTTGGAGTGCTTGGACTTATGCCGCTTATGCTTCGATACCAAGCGGTGACGCTCCCTGCTGTTCGAGCTGCCACCTCCCGATGACGGCTGCAAAGTTCCAGAAGCTCCTCCACTCCCGTCCTTCTTGCCCCCATGTCTCTCTGGATTGGGCATTCCCTTTCCTCTGGCCTCAAAAAGGGGAAAAAGTTCCCCAGCACTCCAAAAAGTAACCCCCACCCACCCCCCCCAACCCCAACCCCACGCCTACCAAAGCGCCCCTAAAAGGGGGTGGGGAGGGAAGGGACGGTAGTCCAGGCTCCTCCTCCCTCCCGACTCCTCAGCACCCTCCTACATGAGGTAGGGGTGAAGGAGCCAGACAAGAAATGAGAGTTCCTCAGCAGTGGAGTTGCGAGACAACGGGTAGCTGCTCAAGTCTGCTTCCTCCCTCCGCCGGCCGAGCCAATCCTCAGGCCCCGGCGTCGGGAAGGTCGAGGAAGTAGGAAGCCGACCGCCCGGGGCTGTGGGGCCCGACTCTGGCTCTGGGGCCCTGTGAGGACTTCGCGGGCCCTTCCCCTACCCGGTAGCCCGGCTCGGGGCGGCTTCCTGTCGCGGGGTCCCGCAGCCTAGGTGCCTCAGGCCCCCTTTGTCCCTCGCTTCTGAGGGAGCCCCTTTTCTTGCCACCGCCTCACCTCAATAGCTCACACACTCGCTCCCTCACAGACTCACAGTCACACACTAGGTTAAACCGAAACGGCACTTGGAGAAGGGGGGGAGGGGGCAATCCCAGGAATTACCGCGAGAACACGCCGGGTTCTCGCGGTATTTGGGCTTCTCGTTCGCCTCTCGTCACTGCTTGATGAAAAACAACGCGAGAACAACTCTCGCGCAAGAAACGCATTCCGCCAGATTCTCGCGATAAGATATTTGCTCCCTATTTGAGCAAAGCTTTATTGAAATAGTACGGTTTTTTTATTCAAAACTTTATTGATAACTCTTTAAACAAATACACCCAGGCTCCAGCACATACTGTATTTGATTACGACTCTTTCACCATTGAGGAAAATATTGTGAACAGGACAGAGCGGAGGTAGTGACATTTCAGCCCAAGTCTCAGTATTAGCAATGCTTCCCCATTTATATGGCCGTGCATTATCTCTAATTCTCTTATCACCCTGCGCAACATGACCTTCGTCCCTGTTCTATAGATAAACCCTGACTAAGAAGGAAAATAACTTACTCTGCGAAACAAAGCTAGTCCAGCAAGTGTCAAAGAAAAGATTCAATCCATGTTTGACGCTAAACACATCCTGTGGAACTGCTCATGACTCTGCTTAAAATCTAAAAACCTAAAAGCTCATCATCACCTACTGATATCATCCATGGCCCTCTGGTATCATTTAGCCTTTCCTCTTCACACAGAAGATTATAACTGTGAATAAGAAACACATTCATGTACAAAAAAAGAAAAGAAAAGATTATCTTATTACTGCCCCTCATTTTTACTTTTTCAAAACTCCTTTACACATATTAATTCACCACCACCCACTGAGATAGGAAACAAAGATACAGAGAAGTGCCTTGTCTATTCTTCTTCCTTCTTCAATTTCACGTGAGATTTTAAGGCCCCTTTCTGTATAATAGTGGCCACTCAGGGTCCTCAAGTGGAATGTACGCAATATATTAATATCACAAATATCCGGTGATAAATACCTTAAGAATGATGCAGGGCTCTGCAGAGACTCTAAAGAAAGTTGGGGGAGTTAATAGAAAGTTTTATGGAAGTGGGGCATTGGAGTAGGGCCAGGAAGAGAAGACAAGTTGTATAGGTGAAGATGGAAACATTTAGTCAGTAAATTAGGGACAGGAAAACTTTCTGAATGAGAGCAGGAGAATCCACTTTTGAAATCACTCCTTGAAAATGTTCTTGCAGATTTGGATGGGTAACCCCCTCCCAAAAAAGTTTGTTACCTAAATTTTTGAGTCCAAAAATCTTGTATAAAACTGAAAAAGGGTAAGTTTTTCACAACCTTTCAATCATCTATAGATAAATTAATGCTAGCAAGAAAAAAGGAGAACATTAGGTACTGGAATTCATGTATGATAACTCTTCATTGACGCAAGAGGGCCTGGATGTAAAAGGTCCCACACTGTCTGATATGTAAACAGATGACATGAGATGTATGAACCGATTAAATGAAGTGACTGACTCATCTTAATAAACACTGGCATGAGATCAGCAAAATTACTGACTTTTTTCTCTTATAATGACATTTGTAGTTTGGAAATCATAGTAATTTAACAATTTTTGTGTATTTTTTTAAAGATTTATTTATTTATGCAACAATAGCTGGGGTGCAGGCCAGAGATGCGAGGGGTGAGAGTACTCACCAGAGACAGAGTGAGGAACAGAATAGGCAGACTGACTGAAATACACTGCTGAGGGGAGCAGCAGGCAAGTCAGGAGAGGTCTGCTGCGCCATGTGGTTGCTACCTGGCCAGCCAGGGATCAAACTCATACTGTCGAGGCTGTGTATTGCTTCATAGTACGGTGCTTAACCTAACCTTGTGCCACCAGGGAGGCCCCGTAAGTATGATTTTAGCAGACATTTTTTTCAGAATCTTTAAATCAGGTGAGTCCATTAGGGATTGGGGTGGTGGCCTCCCTGGTGGATCAAGGGGTTAAGTCTCAGCACTATGAAGCTATCTATAGCACTAGTTCGATCCCCTGCCAAGGATCTAACCCACATGGTGAAGCAGACCTCTCCTGTCTTGCCTGCCACTCCCCTCAGCAGTGTGTTCAATGTGCCTATTCTGCTCCCCACTCTGTCGCTGGTGAATCCTCTCACCACCCCGCACCTCTGGCCTACACCCCAGCTTTTGTGTGCAAAATAAATAAATCTTAAAAAAAAAGGGTTGGGGTGGTGTTTGGTGTTTTCATGTTTATATTGCCAACTCCAAAAATATTAAAATCAGGACTCCATGGATAGTTGTTGAATTAATTTGTTCTTTACAGAGGACACAGAATTTTATTTTATTTTATTATTATTTTTTTAAATTTGTTTATTTTATTTATACCAGCACTGAGTATAGTCAGAAGCGCGGGAGGGTGAGAGAATTCACCAGACCCAGAGTGGGGAACAGAACAGGCCGACTGACAAAATACACTGCTGAGGGGAGCAGCAGGCTAGTTAGGGGAGGTCTGCGCGCCATGTGGGACCCTCGCCCAGTGGCCAGGGATCGAACCGGCACTGCAGCAGCTGTGGGTAGCTTCGCAACCCAGCACTCAACCACTGCGCCACCGGGGAGGCCCTGTGAAATTTTTCAAAATGAACTAATTGTGAAAATTTTCACTTTGATAAATGCTCCCTGAACTTCATTAACTTTAAGGTTGTAAGAATTAGATTATATAGTATTTATAGCATACTTTTTAAAAAAGAAAACATTTATTTTTGTGTAGAGGACCTGGGGTGTAGGCCAGAGGTGTTGGTGGGGGGGATGATTCACCAGAGACAGAGTCGGGAGAAGAACAGGCAGATTTTCTTAAGTACACTGCTAAGAGAAGCAGCAGGCAAGACAGGAGAGGTCTGCTGCGCCATGTGGGTTAGCTTCCTGGCTGGGGATTGAACTCAGGCCATAGAGGTGATAGTGCTGAGACTTAACCCCAGGCAGGCCCCTGTGTTTACGACATACTTTTTTTTTTAATATTTAAAAAGCAGGTTTATTAGGGAAAGGGACAGAAAAGTAAAAGACACTTGTATAGACACAAGCAGGCAGGAAGAGCTGCCCCAAAAGGGACAGGTTTGCTAAGAGAGGACTTCATGGTTGCAGGCTGCAGGCTTGAGGCCCTAAAGAAAAGTTTTAAATAATACCACTGATGATCTTATCAAGTCAAAGGTTAGAAAAGGCTTGCTTCTCATTAGAGGAAAGTACATTTAAATTGAGATCTGAATAAGAGGGCCTTAGGTGGTGAAAGGGGTGGAATGGGGAAAGGCCTTCCATTAGTTAAAAAGACCAGTTGAAGGCCCTTGTGGGAAGAAAGTGTTATAGGACAGGGAGAGGGGCAGCCCAAACCCCGCAAACTGCCTATTTTATGTAGGGTTCTGCCATCCGCCGCATCAACACAAAACATATGAGACTTTAATGGGAAGGAACTTTAATACAACTAGGAAACAATACAGGTAAGGCAGAGTCTAGTTTCTAAATGAAGCACCCAAAGTTACCCGTCTCCTCGTGGGTAAAAGTCCATCCATATGGGATTGGCCCAGAGCAAGGCCCCAAAGCCTGCCACAAGTCTAAAGCATCTTCCAGTGGGGACCCACAGAAAAGGGTCAAAAACTACCAGACAAACCCGGAAGGAAAAGAGCAAAATCAACATCAAAATAAAAGCTGCCATTGTCACCTCCCCACGGGTCTCACCCACATCTGTGCCACCCAGTCCACGACCAAAAGACAAGCGCAGTTTCTTCACGTGTCTCTAGGCTTCTCGCGCCTCCTCCAGGTCTCCTGGCTCCATCCTGTTTCCTTCCTCAGTCTCTTCTGCAGCTTCTCCTCTTCCTGCTCAGCTCCACCCTCCCTTGGGTGGGGCAGGGAACCTCCCCCTTTCCTGGGGACCACCCTGTTACAATCCCCCCTTTTAATTTTTATTCCACCATATCTATGGTGGCACAGAAATTTTCTGCATATGAAAGAAGGGGATTACCAAGGGGAAAAGAACACAGTCTAGCAAGGCTTATAGGACCAAGTACAGTGCTAAGTAGAGGAGATTCCAAAATGAATTTCTGCACCAAGAAACTCAGTGTAGTTGTAACAGGGTGGTCCCCAGGAAAGGGGGAGGTTCCCTGCCCCACCCAAGGGAGGGTGGAGCTGAGCAAGAAGAGGAAAAGCTGCAGAAGAGACTGAGGAAGGAGGCAGGATGGAGCCTAGAGACACGTGAAGAAGCTGCGCTTGTCTTTTGGTCGTGGACAGGGTGACACAGATGTGGGTGAGACCCATGGGGAGGTGACAGTGTCAGCTTTTATTTTGATGTTGATTTTGCTCTTTTCCTTCCGGCCTTGTCTGGTAGTTTCTGACCCTTTTCTGTGGGTCCCCACTGGAAGATGCTTTAGACTTGTGGCAGGCTTTGGGGCCTTGCTCTGGGCCAATCCCATATGGATGGACTTTTACCCACAAGGGGATGGGTAACTTTGGGTGCTTCATTTAAAAACTAGACTCTGCCTTACCTGTAT